TCATCGAATGTCGCGAATGAAGAGCGCCCGCTGCATTTCCTGCACATGTGCGGATCCTTCTGCCTTTTGGGGCTGGAAGCGCTCGTTCTGAGCGTTTTTTCTTCCGCCGGGAGACGTGGCTGCGCTCGCCTGGGCCTATTACTAAGCCAGCAATGGCGTGAGAGGGTGGCAGGCATCATCGGTCATCGGTGGTCGAGAATGAAGAGCATTCGCTACATTTCCTCCACGTGTGCGGATCCTTCAGAGTTTTGGGGCTGGAGCGCTCGTACCGAGCGTTTTTCTTCCGCCGAGTCACGTGGCTGCACTTGTCTGGGCCTATTGCCAAGCCAGCAAGGGCGTGGAGGGTGGCGAGCATCACCGGTCATCGGTGGTCGCGGATGAAGAGCGCCCGCTGCATTTCCTGCACACGTGCGGATCCTTCCGCGTTTTGGGACAGGAAGCGCTCAATCCGAGCGTTTTTCTTCCGCCGGATCACGTCGCTGCGCTCGTCTGGTCCTGTTACCAAGCCAGCAAGGGCGTAAGAGGGTTGCGAACATCATCGGTCATCGGTGGTCGCGAATGAAGACCGCCCACTGTAGTTCCCGCACATGTGCGGATCCTTCCGCGTTTTGGGGCTCGAAGCACTCGTTCCGAGCGTTTTTTCTTCCGCCGAGTCACGTGGCTGCGCTCGTTTGGGCCTATTACCAAGCCAGCAAAGGCGTGGGAGGGTGGCGAGCATCATCGGTTATCAGTGGTCGCGATTGAAGAGCGCCCGCTGCATTTCCTGCACATGTGCGGATCCTTTTGCGTTTTGGAGCTGGAAGCGCTCGTTCCGAGCATTTTTCTTCCACCAGATCATGTGGCTGCGTTTGTCTAGGCTTATTACCAAGCTAGCAAGGGAGTGGGAGGGTTGCTAGTACCATCGGTCATCGGTGGCCGCGAATGAAGAGCGCCCGCTACAATTCCTGTACATGTGCGGATCCTTCCCGTTTTGGGGCTGGAACAATCGTCAGGGCTGGCTCTTATTGGGGATGCTAGTTAGTGGCGTTGGCTTATTGATCAGTTGTGCGGTGATGAATAAGCATTATCGGAGCGCTCGTTCCGAGCGTTTTTTCTCCCGCCGGGTCACGTGGCTGCGCTCGTCTTGGCCTATTACCAAGCCAGCAAGGGCGTGGGAGGGTGGCGAGCATCATCGGTCATCGGTGGTCACGAATGAAGAGCGCCCGCTGCATTTCCTGCACATGTGCGGATCCTTCCGCGTTTTGGGGCTGGACGCGCTCGTTCCGAGCGTTTTTTTTCTGCAGGGTCACATGACTGCACTTGTTTGGGCCTATTACCAAGCCAGTAAGGGCGTGGCAGGGTGGCGAGCATCATCGGTCATCGGTGGTCGCGAATGAAGAGCGTCCGCTGCAATTCCTGCACATGTTCGGATCCTTCCGCGTTGAGTGAAAGAAAAATGAGAACAAGTCTCATGTGAGTGAAAATTTACGAGAACGAGGTGAGTGAAAATCTATGAGAAAAAGTGTCAGGTGAGTCAAAAATTGTTAGTTTAAGTGTCAGGGCTCTTGGGTTTGCTCCTTCCTCTGCTGACCCGTCGATGTTTCTACGCACCGACACTACCCTGCCGCCGTTCTATGTTCTCGTGTACGTCGACGACTTGGATTTTGCTACTGCTGACACTGAGGCGCTGGCCCTAGTGAAGGCGGAGCTGCAAGAGAGACACACCTGCACTGACCTGGGTGAGCTGCGTAGCTATCTTGGCTTGCAGATCACCCGGGACAGAGCACGCCGCACCATCACCCTGACTCAGTCACACATGGTGCACCAGGTCCTTCAGCGCTTCGGCTTCCAGGAGTGCAAAATTGTGAGAGCAAGTGTAAGGTGAGTGAAATTTGTGAGGATACCAAGTGTCAGGTAAGGAAATTTGTGGGAACCAGTGCGGGTAGATCTGCAGAGGTGTAGAGAATCAAGCAACATTTTCTCCACCATCGGACAAATGATTTTTCAATCTTGTCACATGCAATTCGATTGAATTTATTGTGTAAAAATGCACAGTTCGGCTGTTTCTGAACGTGTTGCAGTCTACATCAAAACCAAGCTTGGAGCATGATATGTATATATACATATATACATATACATACATACATATGTACATATATACATACATATATACATATATATAAGAGTCAAAACATAAACAAAAAGAGTTACCTGGTGGAATCGTCTGGAGTCGTCCTTCGTGAATACTTGCGAAGATAATTTGGATATCGTGTTTCCTTGTTCGACACCATCCGTTACGTCGACAGCCCGTGTCGCCCTGTACACTGCTTCACAGCGGGAATCGCCCCGCCCTCACTGTCAGGCCGTCCACCTGAGCCATGCGGAATGGCGCAGGTGATGTGGATCGCGACAGCAGCGGCGGGCTGCGGGTCATCGCGGGGTCGTACGAGCGCTTTCTCTTCGGCTTCCGCCTCCACCTCCCCACCCACCCGTACGCCGCGCCCCGCCTTCCGCCCCAACCACGCAATCGCGTGCGCGGCTGGTTCTCTATCTGCCCCCCGAGCTAACGGCCCCAACCCACCTGTGTATATTCGTTTCCGCCCCACATGTGCGGCCTGAATCCGTTGTTTGCCCGCTCCATCCGCCTTCCCCAAAACCCTGCTAGTCCCTCCCCACGCGCGCTTGCGCTCTCGTTCCTCGTCCCCCCGTCAGGCTGGGCGCATCGCAACCAGCAGCGCGCGGCGGGGAGGGAGGGGAGAGGGGAGAAGGTATGGGGGAGGAGAGGAAGCAGGAGGGGCAAGGCGAGGGGGCCAGGGAGGCGGCGTTGCGGCAGCAGTTCTGCTACGGGGGGCACACGGGGCCCATCAAGTGCGTGGCGGCGGCGGGGGGGGTGGCGGTGAGCGGGGGGGCGGACGACAGCGTGCGCGTGTATGACCTGCGCGCGCGCACCGACATGGGCGCGCTGCTGCACCACACCGCCGCTGTTTCCTGCCTCGCTGTGAGTGCCGCCGTCTCGTGCCTCGCTGTGAGTGCCGCCGTCTCGTGCCTCGCTGTGAGTGTTAGCCCCAGCGCCCCTCCACTCATGGCTGCCCTCTCGTTGCCTCCAAGCCTCCCCACTGAATGCCGTCATGCGTCCGTGCCGCCACCCGTCCCATCCCCCCGCAGTTGCACGGCAGTGGGAGTCGCCCCACTCACCTGCTCGCAGGCAGTGAAGACCGCACCATCAGCCTATGGGAGGTCGCCACGTGGCGGCATCTATCAAGCCTCAAAGGGCACAAGGCGCCTGTGAATGACATCGCAGGTGCGTGCTGGTAGTTGCTGGGCCTGCTGTGGGTTGCTGGGGGCTGGCTGTGGGTTGCTATAGGTTGCTGTGCATTGCTGTGGTCCGTTTTGGGTTGCTGTGGTTGTTGTGATGTGCGCTCCCTCTTGCTCCCCCTCCTCCCATTTCCTACTTCGCCTCTCCCTGTCTCCTCCCCTTCCCTCCTTTCCCCCCCGCATATGCACGGGGGCAGTGCACCCATCGGGGCGGGTGGCGCTGTCAGTGGCGAGGGATGCGGAGCTGCGCCTGTGGAACCTGCTGCAGGCGCGCTGCTCCTTCCGCACGCGCCTGCCCGCCCAGCCCCTCGCCCTCACCTACTCGCCCGGGGACGCTGCCTGCTACGCGCTGGCCCTGAGGGGCGGTGCCGTGGCCGTGCACTGCTCTGCTGACGCCTCGCTCACCGCCACGCTGCCCCACCCCGCCTCCTGCCTCGCCCTCTCCTTCCTCACTGTCAGCCTGCTCGCCCGCCCTGCCTCTCCCTGGCTGCATCGCATTGCTTGCTGCTCATCCCTCCCTCCTTGTTCCCTGTAATTCCCTGCTCGTCTCATCACCTTTTTCTCATCTCTCGCTCTGCATGGGTGTGTTCATTTCCCATTTTATCACCCACCCAATGTCCTGTGCTTGACTCCATGTCCCGTGTGTTGTGACTGCCCTGTCGCTATGCTCCCTGCAGCCACACGCGGTGGTGACGGGTGGCGAGGAGAGGGCAGTGAAGGTGTGGGATGTGCGCCAGCCACCGCTGCACCCCACCGTGAGTGTGGCGGGCGCTCACAGCGCTCGCATCCGCGGCGTGCTGGGGGCGCTGGCAGCTCGACAGGGGGGCGCAGGGGGGGGTGAGGGTGAGGGGAACGAGCTGGCTGCAGCAGCCAAGGCAGGTCTGACCGCTTGGCGCAGTGAGGGGGGAGGGGGTGAGGGTGGGGAGGATGGGGAAGGTGAGGAGGAAGAGGGCGACAGAGGGAAAGGAGAGGAAGGAGGTGGCATCGATGGTGGTAAGCGTGGCAAGGAGGAAGGGGTGGCAGGGCGGAAAAGGAAGAAGAGGGAGAGCAGAGGGCACAGTGGTGATGGGGCAACAGCAGAGTGCAGTGAGCATGTGGTTGTGTCAGCAGCATCAGATGGGTGCATTCGCCTGTGGGACCTGCGCGCCCTCTCCTCCTCCATCCATGCACCTGCCACTGCACCCACCGCTCCCACCGCACTCCCCCCTGGGTGCCACTCCCAGGTGCTTACCAATGCCCGCCTCACGTGCCTTGCCCTCTCCGACCTCTCACCCCACTCCACAGCACTGCCCCGTGCTGGCAAGAGGGCGGGTGGTGTGGACGGTGGTGCGGAGGCGAGGAAGAAGAGCGAGCGTGGGAAGGCGTGAGCCAGAGTATGGATGTCTGGAACTGCTCTGTACACAAGGCTTTGTGGCTTGGCCCACCACAGCATTGCATTGCCATAGGATTGTAGACAGAGACAGGTGCTAGAATGTATTTCTCTTTTTCATTATTCTAAGTTGGATGAATAGTGACCTGCAATTTAGCCTGCACAAGAGGGCCCTTAGGCAATTCAACGAGGCCCGATCCAACAGCAGATATATAGGCGATGCACAAGGCAAGGTGGGGCTTCATTATCACGTTCAGTGGAACGTTTGGCAGGAAGGTGGCGGCAAGGACAGGGTGGGTGGTTGGTTGGGTGGGTGCAGTGCAGTGCAGTGCAGCCCTCACACAGAGCCGTTGCGCGGGTCTGGTTGGCCGGCATCTTCTGTCTTCACCTCGTTGAACACCAATGACAGCTGATGAGGATGGTGATAGTGGATGCACACAGGGGTTGGGAGAGGGGGGACACGGAATATACAGAGGGAGGTGAGGGTGAGTGCGTTTGGAACAGAGGAGACTGTGAGGCAACCTGCCCACGCTGACAATGCACCACCATCCCTACCACCACAGCCAACCTACAAACCACACCCCACCTCCCTGCACCATACCCTTTCTCCCTCCGCACCCCTCCCCTCCCCCCGTTCCCCCCTGCAGGGCAGATCACCTGGGAGCCGTCGCGGGTGATGGTGGCCTTGCCATCGCGGGCATGCCCCGGGGAGAGCATGTGGTGCGAACGGCGCCGCGCCTCGAGGTACTTCTCGACCGCGTACCACCCGATGCCCGCACTGTTCACCAGCAGCCCCACCACGTTCGTCACGCTCATCTGCGGGTGGAGGGGGAGTTGCGGGGGAGGTGGAGGGGGGAGAGGGGGAGGTGGAAGGGGGTTGGGAGAGGAGGGGGGAGAGAAGTGCAGTGTGTGGAGGGCAGAAGGCAGTGGTGGGTGGAAGCGATGCAGCAAGTGGGGCATGAGATGAGATGAGGTAGGTGCATGCAGGGGCGTGGGAACTGGGGGTTGGGGGTGGCACAGAGCAGGAAGGCAGAGGCATGGGGCGGGCAGGGCACTCACGAGCACATCACCGAAGGCAAAGAGGCCGCCCAGGCCCTGCAGGATGGACTTGGTGCGCCCTGCATGCATGCAGCCAGGGGGTGGGGCGAGAGATATGGGGTGAGGTGAGACGCAGCACTGCAAGACGTGCGCATGATCATGGCTATCATTGGCAGGAACAATTGTGGCAAGAGTCCGGAGTAGGCACGCAGAGCAGGGAGGGCGGGCGAGGGGGCGGGGCACTGACCGACGATGCTGGTGGTGAGGCTGTCGTTGACGAGCGTGCAGAGGTAGGTGGCGAGGTTGAGCACAAACGCAGACGCGCACGACAGCAGGAAGCACGTGAGGAACATGGCGTCTCGTGACTGCAGCACTCGCTGCACGGCGGGCAGCTCGCCGTTGAGGGCGAGGAGCAGGAAGGAGAAGGGCAGCGACCAGCAATTGTTGTAGAGCAGCAGCGTGAACGAGTCCAACTGCAACTCCTCGCCCAGCTTGCCCACGATCACCACGTACGCCGCTGTTGCTAGTGCGGATGAGAGCGCCAGCACATACCCCGGCAGGTCGAACGTGAGGTCGCCCGCGCCTGCTATGACGCCCCCCAGCGCGGTCATGTAGACGGAGAGCTGCACGCGCAAGGAGGCGCGCTTGGCGCGCAGCAGGTAGTCGAGGAGCAGCACGCAGGGCGTGGTGGCGGACTTGAGCACGCCGTACATCGGGATGTTCACCCGGGACAGCGCCGCCATGTCCAGGAGGAGCTTCAGTAGGAAGGCGAACGACAGCAGAGCCACCTGCAGGGATGGGGGAGGTAGTGAAAGGGGTGAGGGGTGAGGTGAGGTCAGGTGAGGTGAGGGATGGGACGTGGGACGGTGGCACGGTGACATGGCAGGGCAGCCTCACGACCACACTCGAATCCCAACCACTTCCCTCTTTCCCCCACTCTCATTCCCTCAACTCCCTCTTTCCCTCCACTCCCCTTTCCATCCACTCCCCTTCCCCTCTCAACTCCCCATTCCCTCTACCCTTCCTTCCCCCCACTCCCCTTTGCCTTTACCTCCCCTTCTCCCTACTCCCCCTTGGCTCAAATCCCCCTTCCCTCAATTCCCCGCCCAAATCTCCCTCTGCTGCCCACAACCCCAAGCACCCGGCCCATGCCGGTGAGCCGCCTGAGGCAAGGGGAGGGGCGTACCCGGCGCAGGACGGAGAGGCGGAAGGGGGCGAGGCGGATGGCGCGGGAGAGGCGCATGGCGGCGAGGAGCAGCAGTGTGAAGAGCGTCTGGAAGAAGACGAGCGTGTAGGGGAAGGTGAAGCGGTACACGCGGAATATCGCCTTGTTCACAAACACCGCCGCCACCGACATGCCGCCTGCAGGGGGGGGGGCGGAGGGGGGATTGAGGGGATAGAGAGAGGTGAATGAGGGGAGTGAGAGGGGTGAGTGAGGGGAGTGGGAGGGGTGAGTGAGGGGAGTGGGAGGGGTGAACTAAGGGAGAGAGGGGGGAGGGTGGGGGGGATCGAGGGGCAAGGAGAGGGCGTGCACACAGGGGGGAAGGCACCAATGTTGCAGGGCATGGCAGAGCGGTGCGCAGCCTCTTTGCGACTGCTGCTGGCCCGCTCTACGCGGCTTGGCGCACCATAGAAGACGGCGACGAGGAGCCCCTTGTAGTTCATTGCCACCGCGTCTCGCTACCAGCAGCACCGGAATCAACCGATCGCCCTCCACTCGCTGCTTCCCGCCTCGCTCCGCTGCCTCCTCCTCCCCCTTCCACCGCCTTTGCCGCCGCAATTCCTCCCTCCCTTTGTCTCCCGCCCCTCCTCTCTCTCCCTCTACCTTTTATTCTATGTCTCTTCCCTTCCAGTTCTCTATGCCCCTCTCTCCCAATCCTCCACCACCCAGCACCGATCTACACCGGGGCAGTGACTCCTCTACAAGATCCCCACTCTTTCGCGGCCTAACCTGCCCCGCGGCGCGCCGTTCGCGGAACGGCGCGCTCCGCTAGTGAATTATGGTGTTTGGCTGTTCCCTGCGTTATGCGCCAATACGGCGCGGGCTCGCCGGTCGAGGCATTGTGAGCGGCGCGCGCGACGGCGGAAGGATATGAGAGGAAGGCGATGCGCTTCCGCCAGTGGCCGTGAGCGCGCGCGTCAGACGAAGCTGAGAGCGGGTGAATGGTGCGCGGTGGGCGGGTGGTGGTGGCACTCAATTCCGGATCTGGTAACACAGAACGAGGTCGAACTCTCGAGCTAGCAAGCTAGCGTTGGAGCCTATTGTGCCAATTCAAGAGGCTTGTCGTGACTGGCGAGTGTTGATCACAACCGCTGCCACCAACCAATCGCACAAGGTGCAACCACTGCACCTTCCATTGGTGCAAAAGGCACGTTGGTTGGTGGGTGGAGAGTCTGGAGACATAACGTTGATTACTCGTTAAAGAGCGGCTACATTTCGAAGTATTCATCAAAGGTTCAAAATACGTACCGTACATCACCTCACGAGTGTTAAGCTAATATGAAGCCACCTATAACTTTTCTAATTTTACTACACACTAACCATCTGGGCAAGCTGTAGAATTGCCCAAGGCTCATTGCCCAAAGCTACGTGCCGAAGCCGTACCGCCTGATGTCAGCTGCTGGCTGAACAGTAACGCAGATTCCACGCCACCAACGAGCACCCCTGTGCTACATGCAAGGGCTATGAGCATAACCATCTTCCCAAGGGCTGTGAGCATAACCATCTTCCCAAGGGCTGTGAGCATAACCATCTGCCCAAGGGCTGTGAGCATAACCATCTGCCCAAGGGCTGTGAGCATAACCATCTGCCCAAGGGCTGTGAGCATAACCATCTGCCCAAGGGCTGTGAGCATAACCATCTGCCCAAGGGCTGTGAGCATAACCATCTGCCCAAGGGCTGTGAGCATAACCATCTGCCCAAGGGCTGTGAGCATAACCATCTTCCCAAGGGCTGTGAGCATAACCATCTTCCCAAGGGTGTGTGTGTGTGCCGGTTGCACCATGAAGGCAGGCTCAGGTGTGTGGGTGGCATCAAAAGGCGTCCCCATAGCGCATGCGAGGGCGTGTGCGCATGAGGCCCCCCTGCAGTGTGACCACGCGCTGTGATGCTTGTGGTGGGGGTGCTCCCGCTGCTTGCCTTGGCGCTGCTGACTGCAGCAGCAGAGGCGGCAGATGCAGACGAAACTCGGTGCCCTGCTTTGGGATGACTGAGGGGTGGGATGGGGAGCATGGGGAGCATGGGGCGGTAATGAGGGGGTTGGAGTGTTACTGGGGCATTTCAAGGAGGGAGAAGCATGGGTGGTATATAATGAAACGTCACATTAAGTTGCATGGCATGGCATTGCATGGCACGAGATGGCATGGCACGACAGGGCATGGCATGGCACGGACATGTGGAGAGCATGTACCTTTGAGGCGATCATCCTTTGTGAGGAGGTGGAATGCTGACGTGGACTCTGCCAGCACCATGCCGGCCACCCCCACATGGCCTGTTGAGGCTGCACGTGTCACTGGGAGGGCGGGCAGAGGGGAGCGATGGAGGTGGGAGGAGAATGGGAGATGCACAACTGGGTGCTGCACTCGCAGCACTGAAGTGAACGATTGAATGCAGAAGTAGGCACTTGTTGCTTGCTATGTGCTTGCTGCAGCTCAGCTCTGTGCGTCCGTCCCATAAGACCCCCCCACCCTCTCCCCTTTCCCCCCTTCCCCTCCTCCGTCTCACCTGTGAGCATGGCGCCATGGAGGTCCATCGCTGCGACCCATGCGCACATGCTCCTGGGGGAGGGCGCACACGCGGGGAAGCGCAGGGGCGCACATGAAGAGGGGAAGGGATAGGGGAACACGAAGAAAAGGAGTGCGTGGTGTACCGTATGCAGCGGGGTTGGAGACAGCGGGCAGTGCAAGCAAGTGGAGGGTGAATGAGCGCATGGAGTGGGACGGTGAGAGAAGCAGGCGAGAGGGGCAGGCAATGACTGCGCTCGGCGGCCTGCCTGGCCACAGGCGCACTCACTCAGAGGCGGAGGCAGGAGAGGTGGCCGGCCCTGGGTGCGCAGCAGCAGCAGAGCGGCACAGGGCAGCAGCATAGTCGCTCCATGCTGCCACCAGGGGTGCCATGTGGGTGAAGCTGGGGGACAGGGCGGGGGGGAGAAGAGGTGGGTGTGGGAGAACTGGGGAAGGGAAGGGGAAAGGGCAGAGACATGGATGGTGCTCGCACACACGGCACTGGACATGGCAACGCCGCCCTTCCCCATCCCTCCCTCCGCTCTCCCGATCCTGTTGTTTCCTCCCCCTTCCCTCCCACCTGCACAGGTCAGGGCGCGCCTTGAGCTCCCACACCAGCCGCTCCACTCCCCCCGCCCTGCTCCTCTGCCTGCTCCGCTTCCCCGCTTCCCGCCCGCCTGCCTCCGCCACACTCCCCCCGCGCCTCACCACGTCCTTCCCCGCGCGCTTCTTCCCCCCCGGCACCTCCAGCAGCACCTCCATGCGCGGAACACTGTAGATTCCGCCGGCGCCGCCCGCCTTGCGCCCGCCCGACGCGAGAAGCGCCGTGATGCGCGCCTCCACGCCCGCCAGCGGGTCGCTTGATGCGCCGCCGCCGCTGCCTCGCGCGGGTGCCGCCTGGAATGCGGGGGACGGGGCGTGCGCGGAGTGAGGGGGCAGTGCGGATGGTGAGAGAAGTCGCGGAGCGGAGGGAGGAGCGGCGCATGAGAGACGAGTCAAGGAGGAGCGACGAAGGGTGGGGCGGACGTCATAATTTCAGCCGACGCGCACGCCACTGACGTCATCTCACCGCGGTATCCGCGGGGCACACTGCGCGCATGACGTCCTGCTGCGCGCCACTGTTCACTTCCGCGTAAATCCGCGCCGCATCCCCGCCTCCCGCCTCCTTCCCCTTGCCCGCCTCGTTCTCCCTCCCGCGCTTCTTCGTCGCTCCGCCGTTCCCCCCATGCGCGCCCGCCCTCCGTGGCGGGGGCGGGCGCGCGCCAGTCGGCACGCGGGGAGGCTGAGAGGGAGGCATGCGGAGCGCCGAGGACGCAACAGCACTAACTAGTCGAGTGACGACGAAGAGACGATTGTAGAGTCGTCTGGTCTGCCAACTGTGTTGCACATTCGCCACCTCCTGCTATCCTAGTGAAACACAGTCTGCAAAGGAAATTTGTTTCGTATGTGGAAAGTTATTTTCGCATACATTTCGCAAACCCCCCAACCCACCCACATCCACTCCCCAAAACCTCCCAACCCCAGCCATATATTCCTTGGTGCATTCCCTAGCGTGCTGATCTTCCCCCATCCTGCCATTACATGGCCTCACTCGCCCGCTGCTCCCGACCCGCCCTCCGCCTTGCGCGCGTTGCCTCTCCGCCGCTGCGCCACTTGCCGCATTGCCTCGTCCGCCTCCTCCCAACTCTCCGCGCCGTTCTTCTCCCCCGCGCCACTCCCCCCCGCCGCGCGTCGTTCGCGTGCGCCCATCGCCACGCGCGCCCCCTCTCAGGCTCCGCGTTCCTGAGCACTACCAGGGGGAGCAGCGGTGCTTCGGGGGCAAAGGGGCAGCGGAGGGAGGGAGATTGGGGGGAGGGGCGCGCAGCTCAGGATAGGGGGAGAGAGAGAGGGGCTTGGCGGACGCGCGCGGGGCTGGTAGGATCTCGGGCGGACGATTTGACGGCGGAACCATCGAGCGCAGCAGCAGGGGCAGACGGCATTGCGGTTGGCGGTAGAGGCAGGGAGGCGAGCGCGGGGAGCGGAAAGGGGGTGGGCGGCGGCAGAGGTAGGGAGGCTGGCATTAGTGAGGTAAGCCGCGGTAGCGGGCAGCGAAGCAGCAGCGAGCGCGGGAACAGCAGCCGACAGCAGGCCACCACCGGCGCTGCCAGTGCGGCAGCAGTACGGAGTAATCTCCCTACCTCCAAGGATCGCAGCGGCGGCAGCAGCGGCAAGGGCGAAATGCCGAAGCGCAAGCGCGGGTACACGGCGGAGGAGGAGGCGAAGCGGCTGTTGAACCAGTGCAGCAAGCACGGCGACCTGCGCACGGCGCTGACGCTGTTCGACGCGCACGTGGCGGGCACGGGGCCCGCGTTCAAGACGTACGAGTTCAACATCGCGCTCTACCTCTGCGCGCTCGTCGCCTCCTCGGGGGAGGTGGGCACCGTCCCGCGGGGGGGAAAGGGGAAGGAGGGGGGCAAGGGGAAGGAAGGGAAGAATGGGGCAGGGGTAGGATCAGGTGGGGAGGACAGCAGCGCTACGGGAAAGGGAGGAGGGGAAAGCGGGGAGAAGAAGTGGAGCAGGGAGGAGGCGAAGGCAGTGGCAGCGGCGCGCGGAATGGACGTGTGGGCGGACATGCAGCGGAGGGGCGTTCCGCTCAACGAGGCCACCTTCACCGCGCTCGCGCGCCTGGCCTCCGCGCGGGGCGACGCGCGCATGGCGTTCCGCGTGGTGCGCGACATGGCGGAGCAGGGTGTCCCCCCGCGCCACCGCTCGTACGACCCCGCACTGCTCGCCTTCTGCCGCCAGGGGGACCTGCGCGGCGCGGAGGAGGTTTTTCAACACATGGCTGCCCGCGGGCTGGCCGCGCTGCCCGAACAGGTCGCCGCCCTGCTGGACGTGAGCGTGCGGGCGGGCAGCCCGGGCAGCGTGTACAAAAACATTCACCGCATGCGGAAAGTTGCGCGTGGGCTGCCCGACGACGTGATTGGGACTTTGAGAGCGTGGTTTGAGTCTGAACGCGCGAGACAGGGGGGCGCGGAGAGCGAGGGGGGGAAGAGGGCGGAGGGGGCAGGGGAGGCGGGTAGCAAGGAGGCGGAGAGCGAGGGGGAGAGGGAGGCGCAGGGGGAAGGGGCAGAGGAAGGGCGGAAGGGGTGGACGCAGGAGGAGGCAAAGAGGGCAATGGCAGTGAACGGGGGGGGATGGCACGGGCTGGGGTGGGCCATGGACAGGGGGGACGCCGCAGGGGCTGGCGCAGGGGAAACGCAGGGGGGTTCGTGGCAGGTGCAGGACGTGCGGGTGGACGAGGGGGGCACGTGCAGCGGGTGCAGCACGCGTCTCGCCACCATCGACCTGGACGACGCCGAGACAGAGTGCTTTGCCCGTGCGGTGGATGCACTGGTGGAGGCGAGGGGCAAGGCGCGTGAGCTGGCGGCGTTCAAGGCGTGGCTGGCACGGCACGGGCCGTTCCATGCCGTGGTGGATGCGGCAAACGTGGGGCTGTACAACCAGAACTTCGCCCAGGGGGGCTTTAACTTCTGGCAGCTCCACTCCATCGCCAAGGCTGTCGCCGCCCTGGGGCCTGCAGGTTCGGGTGGAGGTTCAGAACCAGGTTCGGCGTCGGCGTCCCCGCGGCTGCCGCTGCTGGTGGTGCATCACAAGAGGGTGAAGGGCGGGGCGGCAGCAGAGCCGTTTGCACAGCAGTGCCTGGCGCAGTATGAGCAGCAGCACTGCCTCTTCACCACCCCCACTGGCGCCAATGACGACTGGTAAGCTGCTCTGCTCTGCTCTGCTTCCCTGTTGTGCTGCCTTGCTCCCACTGCTCCTGCTGCTCTCATGGCATGCCAGCAGCTCCACCGCTGCCTCACTCTGAGCCACCCTCACAGCCCTGCCATATAGGCTATAGCTGCTGATCCGTGCAGGAAGCATTCATCGCTGCACGCCTGCTCACCCATGCCCCTCCTGCACCTGACTCCTGTCCCCTCGTTCTCCCCACCTCCATGCGTTGGGCAGGTACTGGCTGTACGCAGCGATATCAATGCGCTGCCTGCTGGTGAGCAACGATGAGATGCGAGATCACATCTTCCAGACGCTCAGCGCTGACTACTTCTCGCGCTGGAAGGAGCGCCACCAGGTGGGCGAGAGATGGGTGGATGGGGGGGTGGGAGGGTGATTTGGTGGGGCGATGGTGGATGGGGGAGAGGTGGATGGTGGATGGGGGAGAGGTGGATGGTGGATGGGGTAGAGGCGGATGGTGGATGGTGCTGCTCCGGCTGGAAGATCCACGCATCTTCCACATGCTTGGGGCTGGCCATTTCTCATGCTGGAAGCAGCGCCACCCGGTGAGGGGGAAAGTGGGTGGATGGGGGGTTGGGTGGCAGGTGAAGAGGGAGGTGATTGAGCTGCAAGAGCAGGTGGTTTGCTGCCGTGGGATCAGCATGGTGCCTGTTGTCCGTGTGTGTGCTCCAGACACATGTGCCATCCATGTGCTTCATCTTACTCCTCTTGCTCATGGTTATGCTTGCATCGCTGCTGTGGTGTGGTGTGTGGCCCTTGCATGGCATGGCATGGCATGGCATGGCATGGCATGGCATGGCAGGTGCGGTTCACCATGACACCGCGAGGCCCAGTGCTGCGCATGCCACCCAACTTCTCCTTCGTCATCCAGGTCAGACCCACCGCTCCCTCCTCCAGCTCCCTCCAGGTCACAACCCCCCTCTATTCCCTTTACCTCCCTTTAGGCTGTCTCTCCTAACATGCTCATGGTTGGACTCACCATCATGCCACATGCTGCAGCACTCAGTGTGTTGCCCCTCTGTATCTCCCTCGGCCACCCCATCCAAACCAACCTCCCCCATCGACCCCACCCAAGCCGACAACCACCTTCCTCATCATCTCCCCCATGTCCTCCTCATCCTGACTTCTGCTTCCCCCTCGCCCCGTGCCACCCACATGCGCGCTGCTGCCTTCCCCAGGAGTCAAGCGATGGCGGCTGGCACTTCCCCAAGGCGCACCGCGCAGGGGGACAGGGGGAGAAGGTGGATGGGGAGAAATGGGAGAAGGGGGAGAAGTCGGTGGAGGGGGAAATGAGAGTGGAGATGCGGGGAGAAGGTGAGGGGGAAGAACGTGGGAAGGAAGAAAGTGAAGCGGAGGGGGCAAGCGGAGAGAGTGGAGGGGGGGTGTTTGACAAGTGGCTGTGCGTGCAGTGGAAGAGAGAGTGAAGGGGTGATCTAAAGGCAGGCCGCGAGGGATGTGTGCGCCTACAGAATGTGCCAGCACTTGACAGGAGGCAGGCACCACGAGCACAATGGAGGAGAGCTCCAAACCAAAGTCATTGCTGCCAGATCAGAGGAAGTTTAGCTGTCGCTTTTCAGGATGCCATGCTTTTTATTACATGTAGAAAATGGTTAGGCATTAGACTAGACCAAATGTCATCCCCTAACAGCATGTTCTAACAATAACCTCTAGTGTGCTGATGTCTGATGGCCTCACGCCCGGGCTGATTTTATCAGGGTAATTACCCTGATTTCAGGGTGATTACAGGCTTCTCAACTGCTGGGCCTTGCAATTTCAGTTTTTTTAACTTGTGAACTCTGATCCAATCAGAAAAGTTACTTAACGAACCCTGAAATCTTATGACTAGACTAAGAGTAGTGTACTTGTCAGAATCCCAACCACTAGACCATTGGGATAAAAGAGTTTGTTAAGTAGCGGGTCAGTGCGCCCATAACCCCCCAGGCCAACATGCCTGTAACCCTTCCCTATGATCAATCGGGGATCACCAGTGGACCTCTGACACCCCCCCGCACTGGGATGCCCGAAGTGCACACACTGGGATTCGAACCCGAGACCTTCGCTCTGATACCATGTCAGAATCCCAACCACTAGACCATTGGGATAAAAGGGCTTGTTAAGTAGCGGGTCAGTGCGCCCATAACCCCCCAGGACAACGAGCCTGTAACCCTTCCCTAGGATCAATCGGGGATCACCAGTGGACCTCTGACAGTACTTGCGGACTATGTCTATGCAGAGTATGCGTTCGGTGGACCCTGAATGCGAGGGTATCGGGACGAAGGTTCCTCAAAGTTTCCTTTCGATAACCCCCCCCCCTGTGCGTAATCATTACTTCGCGTGGCCCCATGTGAGGTACCCCGTTCACGCGCTGGACTGACGTAATAACGACACCGAATTCCAACACCGTGCTGTAAAGACAGCTGTCAACAGTGACAACGCACCCAAATCTATGATACGTTGCTGCCACGCGCACCTCGCAGTGCACAGCATGCCTCTGCCATTCGCCAGAACGGCATGTTGACAGTATGCGCTGGCAGCTAAGCAGTCCTTGAATGAATTCGGCCTTGCACCTACGGCCGAATTCATTGACGAATGTTGCCATCAACCTTGTGGCATCGCGCCGCGGTGGTTTCGTGATGACCCCGCCATCTCCAACCTTCCTTTCCTTCCCCCTACCCAGAGCCAGGCTTCCTTCGCTTCCTGCTTTTCGTTCAGTATCACACTTTCCTCTCGCTCCATCTTTCCCCTAGCTCGCCGCCATGGAGGCCCTGCCGGCCGACGAAGATGCTCCTCAGACTGGCCCTGACGAGCCACCTTTACCGGCGAAAGCGACAGCGCAAGCCTTGCCGGAGAAAGCATCAGATGATCCCCGGTCTGGGCTCGATTTTCTTAGAGCTACCGGTGCTCCAGTGACACCAGAACCTCCTAGGTCTACGGTTCATGACTCTGCTGCTAGAGTAACCCCTAATCCTTCTGATTCTCCACATCCTGTCGCCTTCACTCTACCCCCGGCTGTTGCTTCTTGCAGCAAAGATCCCCCACCGCCATTGCCTAGCCCCACTCCAAGCACGGTGCGTGTGTCTGTTGGCCCGCCGTCGGCTTCTTCCACTCCCAAGCGAGCGCGAAATGGGAAGTGGGCGCAGAGTACTCTGGTCGTCGGAGGCCGCCGTATTCCACCGCCTGACAATGACAAGCCGGCAGATCCTCCACCGAAAGAAGCTGAGCAACCGGAGGAAGTTGACATCCCTGTGCGCGCGGATACCGGCTTGCCCGCACTCACCAAGATGCGGCTGCGAGAGCAGGTGTACTTTGAGGCGAGTATTAACTACGAGACGAAGTGGTCGCAACACTTTTCCTGGCTGGTGTTTGGGAAGACCAAGGACGGTTTTCCATACGTGAAGTGCTCCATCTGCATGTCGTACGCGAAGGGGAACACGAGGTACGCCATGCAAGGTGACGACGGTGGCCGTGACTTGCAGACGCACTCGTTCAGGGCGCACGAGCATACGGACGCACACAAGGCGGCGGTGGATCGGCAGTTGAAGCTTGCGGCGGGCATCCGCGAGGGCCAGCAGGCAATTTTTTACTTCATCAACTCCGACGTCGAGGGGCGGCGCGAGATTCGTCTCATGCGGTCTACGCAGTTCCTGTGCCAGTGCGACGCGCCGATTAGCATGTTTCCGAAGCTGATGCGGCATCTTGCGGAGCAGGACACGCCAGACATTCCTCGACAATCTTACGGCGTGTATCTGACACGGTATTTAATCTTACCGTTAGATTGCAGCTGGACATATGTGACGTGTGGTTTTTTTATTACGATCCTGACCATTTTATTCTCCTCTTTGCAGATACGGGTTCCAACAAATGGTTCACAGCATCAGTACATACCTCACTCGGGTCCAGATGGACCACATCCTGGCATCCCCCTTCCTGGGCATTCAGTGCGACGAGAGCACAGACCGAACGCGAGGGAAACACATGATTGTGTACCTTACGTTTTTGAAGAATCGCCAAATCGCATGCGAGTTCTTTACATTGCTAACGGTTGAGCGGTGTGATGCAGGGTCTCTGTTCGAGGTACTTCTGAACCATCTCCGCTCCGCAGCCGTCGATGTGTCCAAGATCGTCGGCATCAGCACAGATGGGGCGTCGGTCATGACCGGGAAAGAAAACGGATTGGTGGCGCGTCTTCGGGAACACGTTCCGCACCTGTTTTCATGCCACTGCATCGCCCACCGGTGTGTATCAAGTTTCCTAGTTGGTGTGGTTTTCTACGTATAAGATTAACCAATTACCTCTTGATTTGTATTCCCTGCATCCTACAGTGAGGCGTTGGCTGTGAAGGACGCCGCTGAGTCAAACGAGGACCTTGGCAGGGTCGACAAGGTGGTGCGCACAGTGGCGACGCTTCTCGGAAACTCAAGCGTGTGGAGTCAGCGCTTCAAGTACCTTCAGCGAGTGATCTATCAGACAAACCTCGAGGTCCAAGGAATCCACACGGTTCGATGGCTGTCACGAGGTGATGCGGTGCGCAGGCTGTGCAAGGTCCTCGGCGCTTGCATCGTGCTGCTCTGGGAGCACAACCACAAGGCCTACGAGATTGTGACGTGCTACAAGTTCCAGTTCTGTTTGTTTTTCCTGGCCGACATTCTGGCCGACATGAACGACCTCAACCGCTGCTTCCATAGGCGTGAGGTGAGATTGAATGCTAGTATAATGTTGAGATGGGAAGTGTGATCCTACACTTTTGCTAATCCTACTCTCTGTTGTTGATTGCATGTGTGACAGCTGGATGTGACTGAGATTTCGAAGACTATTGAGTCCACCACGGGTGACCTGACGGAGCGCTACTTGACGACAAACAAACCGTTCGGGGGCGAGGGGAAGAGCTGGCTGGTAAACTTCCTCAAGGTCCACAAGGAGGGTGGAGGCAAGCAGGTCCGGGTTCGAGGCGTGGACGGAGAGGGACGCCCAATCAACCACCTCTACACCATGCATGAGAGGAAGCTGAAGGGCCACAAGCAGGGAAGCACCTACGCAGACTGCGTGAAGCTGTGCCGCCAATTTGCCCGCGACTGCGTGGACAACCTGAACGAACGGCTGGATGACCTTGGGTAGCTGGGCCCGACGAAGCTGTTCCGGGCGGGGAAGTGGCCGAAGATCAAGGCCCAGCGAGAGAAGAAGTGCAAGGAGTGGCTGCACGGATGCAGCAGGCTCTTCCGCCACAAGCTGCCGGGATTCGACCTCAAAGCAGCAGAGAGGGAGCTCCCGACATTCTGCGCGATCATGGAGTCACACCATGAGATGGAGAGCTTCGCCCAGGGCCTTAACAACTTTCTTGGAAGCGTAGACTCAAAGAGGTAGGCCACTGCATGCGTACGAGTCTTTTACCTATTTGATTCTTATGTTGGTGATTATTAACATGTTGAATTCCAACTTGTTGATTTATTAACTTGTTGATACTTTTACATGTTTTGTTGTGTTTCGAATGTGCCTGGCAGTAGATGGCCCAACCTCATCCTGCTGTGGCAGGCGCTGGCTGTGCTTCCCCTCTCCACCGTGGAGTGCGAGAGGGGGTTCTCCAGGCAGAACATCATCAAGTCCTGGGTGCGTGGAGCGCTCTGCCACGCGCGTCTGGGGGAGCTGATGCAGATATCGCTCCTGAAGTACGAGATCGAATGGCCGGAGGCACTGGAGGTGTGGAGGTCCATGCGGAGGAGGCGCCCTGTGAAGAGCCTGAAGCTGGCTGTGGCAGAGAGGGAGAGGAAGGGGAAGCAGAAGGAGGGTGAAGCTGTGGCTGCTGGAACTGCGGGGGAGAACGAGGACGAGGGGGAGGAGGAGGAGGAGGACGATGAAGTGGAACAGGACTTGGCCGACGATCAGGAGGTCGTGGAAGAGGAGGACAACCCTTTCCTGTCAGACGATGAGGACGTAGAGGAGGTGTACTTCATTGACAAACCCGTGCACTAGATAGTGTAGGAAAGTTGAAGTTGTTGTATCAGTCATTTTGAAGTGTAGTGCAATGTTAATAGCAACCCTGATTTTGAGCTGTGAACCCTGACGGATCAGACTAGGACTTTGTTCGACACTGAGCTATCAGGGTAGCTTCCCTGTGAAAAATGTGCGATCATAATAGAGGGGGAATTTTTTTCCGGGAATCAGGGAGGCCTAAAACGAAACGTCAGCCCTGCCTCACGCACTCAGCACCATCCTGTGCCATCCTCATGCCACCCTATCCCTTTCCCTATCTGTGTCCCGGTCACCGTCGGCCCAGCCTGTTTCCTCCACGCCCAGCCATCTTCTTCACAGCATCAATCACCGCACAGCCCTGCCAAGGGTCATCGTGGTGGTGGTGGTGTGGGGGGCATGGTGGCAGAGACACGAGTGAAAGAGGTTGACAGAGGGGAGTTGCATGCTTGGTGTGGTGATGTGGAAGAGGAAGAGGAGAGGCTGGCCAATACCGCTGCCTGAAAACCTGCATGCACATACGGTACAGGTACTCCCATTGCTCTCACCAGCGCCCCCATCAACTCTGCGCTCACCAGCGCCCCCATCAACTCTGCGCTCACCAGCGCGGTGATGCCGTCGCCCGCCCGCAGCGCCACGTCCACCGCCTTGCGCACGTTCTCGTTGCCTATCCTCTCCGGGTGGTAGCTGTCAGCACATGCCGCATCCCCCCACACGGGATTGGAAGGGGAAAGGGGAGGGGAAGACGGAGCGGTGTGGAGGGTATGAGAGGTGACGAGGGTGGCGAGCACAGTGCGCGGCCTGCCAGCAGCCCGAGGCAAGCCCCCAGGCAGCCCAACCATCTACGGCTCGTCGCTGGGAACGCGGTGGCGCGATGACAGCTCCGCCTCAGCACGGCGGGGCAGCATGCGCGCGCAGGCCACCGCGCTGCCCGCAGCTCGTCCTCCGCCCCAACTCCCCGTCGCCTGCGGTTGAACCCCTCCCCGCGCGCGCTGCCCAGATATTGCGGAGCGCGGTCTCGCCGGTCTCACCTGATCCATCCGGCTCGCCTCGCCGCCGACGCGAGCGTAACGCTGAGCGCTGTCTGGATCACCAACGCGTCGCCCACCCCCATGCCTGCCTTCCTGCCTGCCGGCCCGCCAAACGCGGCCGCACGGAGAACTGCGTGGGTGATTGTGGTGGTCGAAAGGAAGCGGGACTTTCTCACATGGAAGCAACACAAGCCGTAGTGCGCGAGCTGAGCTTGATTGTCATGGAATTTGTCTCATGAAATGCCTTCTGAGAGCAGCATAGTAACGAGGACAAAGTTCATAGTAGTTTTTCAGTATCTCTACGCCCAACTACATAATCAGGCTTACGCTGAATACTTTCTTAATGCAACATTTAGTTACACTCATGTGGATAGAGAGTTCGTCCTCCGTAAATAAACAAAAATGTCTCAATTGCTGATTTCCCTATGAGTCGTCACTAGTGAGCCGAATGTCCTCCGCATCCTCATCCCCATCCACATGCACATCCCCCATATCCCCCTCCATCTGCACCTCGGCCTCCACCAGCCGTTGATACATCTGCCGCAATCGACGGCTGCGGAGCCACGTGACAAGCGAGAGATATCCAAAGCTCACAATGAGCACGGCCAGGCCCACGAACAGCGCAATCCACATGGGAGACAGCACATCCGAAGGCACGTACACCCACTGCTGCTCACAGGGCCCCACCAGCTCCGGTGCCGGCAGGGAGGCAGCACCGGGGAGAGTGGAGCTGCAGTGGTGCGGCTGGCGCCACGAGTAGGTGACGTTGTGGCTGCCGTCGGCATCGGCGCAGTCGCCCTGCGAGCAGATGATGTCGCCCGGCTTGCACGGCTCACAGGGCTCGTCTGGGGGTAAAGGGTTGGAGGGGTTCAGCTGACACACCTGTGGGGAGGAGGGACGGGAGAAGGGTGACGGAGAGGGGCGAGGAAGGGATGGGAAGGGAGCAGGACAAGACCATGAGGGAATGACTTGTACGGAGGAGGCAGTCGGGGTGATGCAGTACAGAGTTACAACATTGCGTGCAGCATACCGCCTTTATTTGCACACGGCCCTCTTTGAGTCGACTCAAAAGCCATGCAGTAAACAGCAACAGCCTCATGTGCATGCATACAGCACAGCATACCCGGGGCGATTTCCACTTGAAGGTGGCCCTTGTCTCATCCATGCATTCAGCCGTCTCCACGCGCTCATAGTCCTCATGTGAGCACAGCGGGCACGCAAACAGCGAGTACCACACGAGGCTGAAGGAGCAGTCGCTGTGCTCTATGCGCTGCACTGCTCCCCCCCGTTGTGCGTACTGCGGGTACCCCAGCACCGGGTTCAGCGCTGCCATCTGCCCCTCTGCCGTCCATGCCTCTGGCTGCCCGTGGCCTGATGGGGTTGGAAGGATGGTGGGTGGAGAATGGAGGGTGGATGGTGGCGGATGATTAATGGCGGATAGCTGGGGTGTGGTCTGTAGAATTAACAAACAATGCTGCAGTGCCTGGCTACTCGGCACCATGCGCGCACATTCTTCTCTCAAACCCCACCCCTCTCACTCACTCCCCCCCCCCTCCACACACCAGCAGCGGGGTCACAGATGAAGGTGAGGTTGGTCTCTCGTGGCAGGTTGGTCTGCGGGCACTCATCCCCTGTGAACGCCATCACCAGGCCCCGCCGGTACAGCCCTGCATGCACGGCTGCCAGCGGATACACTGCCACCGCGCTGCCTAGACTGTGCCCCGGCCATGCTCCGCTTCTGGCCTCCCGTGGATCCACCTGCGTGGAGTGGGGTGCGGTGGGGTGCAGTGGGATGTGGTGAGGGGCCCTGCATGCACGGCTGCCAGCGGATACACCGCCACTGTGCTGCCCAGGCTGGGTGCAGGGGAGGAGAGAGTGGGGGAGATGGGGAGGATGGAGAGCAGGAGGGTAGAGTGCTGTAGTGAGGCCGAGAGCCAGGTGCATGGCCAGCAGCATGTGGTTGGTTGGAATGTGGACAGACTGCAGCACGTGCAGTGCAGTGAGGGGTGTGCATGGGTGGGCACAGCACTGCACCTTGCACGCGTAGGTGTTGAGGGACCGCCCCGAGTAATCGTAGCACGTGTCGTTGCCGCTGTCCCGATCGCACACACTCACAAAATACTCCGCTGCCTGCCGCCCCCTCGCCTTGCTGCTCCCACTCCCCTCCTGCCCACCCCCCCCCTCCTCCCGCCCCTGCCTCTGCAACTTCTTCCCCCCCAGCAGCATCACCATCACCATCATGAGCAGCAGCAGCATCACCATCACCATCACCATCATGAGCAGCAGCAGCATCGAGCACGGGACCAAACATGCGGCCGGGGTGCATGCGAGACAGGGGGGAGAGGTCAAACACCACCGCTGCTGCCGTCCCATTGCCTGCCACAGCAGCCACCGTGCCACTGCCATCAGGGGACAATGCACCCCCCTTCCCTGCTTCCCCTTCCACCCCCCTCTCCCCCTCCCCCCCTTCCTTCCCCCCTTCCCCCACCCCCCCACGTTCCCCCTCATGCCCCGCCTGCTCCTCTCCGCCGTCGTGGCCGAGGTATGGGGTAGAAGGAATGGAGTGGAGGGGCAGGGAGAAGGTGCAGAAGGAGGCGGGGTGGGCGGCATCACCGATGAAGCACTCCGTGCTGCCCGCCAGGGAGGACGTGCCCGCTCCACACGGCATGCACGCCCACTGCGCCCCCTAGCACACACGCAGCACGATGCAAGGGAGGGCAGAGTCAAGTGGCGTCGTTAAACACAGCAGCGGTTGCTTTCGTGTTGACTCAAATACACACAGCATGCACACCCACTGCGCTCCCTAGCAGCAGGCAGAGGCAAGGGGCACACCAGGATAGCCACAGGTAGGCGAGTGGAGGGATGGAGGCATGGCAGCATCGCTGCATGGCTGCATGGGAGGTTGGCGGAAATGGGATGCTTGCAGGGGCATGGCTGGAGCATGGTGCATGGATTGCGCTCCCTAGCGGCGGTCAGGGCAGGCAAAGGCAAGAGGCACACAAGAATTGGAGGCATTGCACGCCCATGGCGGCATGGGGGGGCGGGGGGATGGGGGGATGGCGCCGCACGGCAAGCATGGCCACTGCACTCCCTCCCCAAGCACCGGGAGGCAAGAGACACACAAGGACAGTCAGCAGGCGGGTGGAGGGATGGAGGCATGGGGGGATGGCGGGAATGGGATGCTTGCAGGGGCAGAGCAGGAGCATGGTGCATGGATTGGCGTGGTATGGACTGGGTGGCATGGAATGGACTGGTTTGCCATGGCATGGCATGGGCGGCATGGTGGGGCATGGCAGGGGCGCACCTGGGGCTGGTTGTTGAAGGTGTTGGGCGGGCAGGGCAGGCAGGAGGACGCACCGCCCTCACTGGAGGTGCCGGGGGGACACGGCACGTATGAGTCGCCCCCCTCTGTCAGCGCTGTCCCCTGCGGTACCTCCTCACACCGCGCTGCACCGCCCTCCGCCACTCCCTCTATCTGCAAGGCGGCATTGATGCAAGCAGGCAGGCACAGAGAGAGGGGGGCATGAGTGAATGCAATCATAGGCACATGACGTGCAACCATTGGTAGTAGCATGTTACCATAGCACACTGGCAGCATTCACGTCCATGCACAGGCCAACCGTTGCGCTTACACACACTCGGAACCATTCCCGTGCCACGACCACACACACACATGGATACCGCATGCCCAGCCACGCACTTGGATACCACATGCCCAGCCACGCACATGGATGTCATAGATGACTGCAGAGTCGCGGGTGGTCCTGGTAGCAGCGCCGGTGTCATCCAGCTTCTGCCACACCCACATCACCGAGTGCCGCCCCACTTCCAGCTCCCACATGCCACTCATGCGATACTCGTCCTCCCCTGACCCTGGGTGCCCGCTCTCCTCCCCGCCCTCCTCCCACTCCACTCGTTGTTGCTGCCAGATGGAAGGGGGGAAGGAGGGAAGAGTATGAGTGGGTCATCATGGTGCGGCCAGAGCAAGTGGCTGGACAAGAAAGGGACGATGGGCAGGCCTTGCTTGCTCCCAACACCGTACAGCAATGCATGCATGGCATAGTGTGCAATGCATGCACCTTCACACCTCTAAGCACATCACCTGATTATCTACACATGAATAGACCACTTCACACAGGGTCACCTCCACCTAGCCCATGACGTCAACTCCACATAGCCCATGACGTCACCTCCACATAGTCCATGACGTCACCTCCACATAGTCCATGACGTCACCTCCACATAGTCCATGACGTCACCTCCACATAGCACATGACGTCACCTCCACATAGCACATGACGTCACCTCCACATAGTCCATGACGTCACCTCCACATAGTCCATGACGTCACCTCCACATAGTCCATGAGGTCGTGGTCGATAAAGAAGAAGAAGGCACGGCCCGGGTCCCCAGGGAGGATGTCGACCGAGTAGTTGAATGTCATGTACCCGCGCACTGCCATCTGCACATCCAACGCCAGCCAGATCTGATGCCGCCATACCAGGGGCAGTTGAGTGGGCAAGAGAGGGGAGAGAGACAAGGGGGGGGGCATGTTGAAAAGAAGCTCCATCTGTGTGGCCTCGCGGAAACAGCCTGTTGTGAGCCTATGGTGGCGTCCAGTGCCCTCTCTCCATGGAATTGACTAGTTTTCACACATCAGCCGTATGGTATGTGTTCCAAAGAACCAAACTGTCCATTCACACAGTGGTGGAGGGCCCACGGCCGCTGCCGGAGTCAAGGTGATCCTGAAACGAGTCAACACCACTGTGGTGCCTGCAACATGGCAGCGACTAGTGTTTACATAACAACCGCGCCGCATGGCGCATGCAGCAAACCGATCTCACAGTGGCGGTGGGGCCGTGGCCGCTGCCGGAGTCGAGGTGGTCCTGAAACGAGTCAACACCGTGGCAGCAACTGCGGTTACAAAACAATCGCATGGCGCATGCAGAGAGCACAACCATCCATCCTCACCGTGGCGGTGGGCCCGTGGCCGCTGCCCGAGTCGAGGTGGTCCTGAAACGAGTCAACACCGTGGCAGCAACTGCGGTTACAAAACAATCGCATGGCGCATGCAGAGAGCACAACCATCCATCCTCACCGTGGCGGTGGGCCCGTGGCCGCTGCCCGAGTCGAGGTGGTCCTGAAACGAGTCAACACCGTGGCAGCAACTGCGGTTACAAAACAATCGCATGGCGCATGCAGAGAGCACAACCATCCATCCTCACCGTGGCAGTGGGCCCGTGGCCGCTGCCCGAGTCGAGGTGGTCCTGAAACGCCCTCCAGCCGAAGGTGCCACAGTCACCATGGCAGCCGGTGGTGAAGTTGGGGGGCAGGGCGCCGTTGGGCTGCATGGTGAAGTGCTTCAGCAACAGGGTCTTCATCGCCACCTGCCCTGAGCTGCACGCCTCACACCGCCCCTCTAACATGCTGCCAGCGCTACCCGCCCCCCCCTCGTAGCTCGCCTGCCGTGCCGTGCCCTGTGGTTTTAGGGAATGTGGGAAGGGGGGGGGAGGGGGAGGAGATAGGTATGCGGGCGGAGGAGGAGGGTACATCAGGGAAGGCCAGATGGTCGGGCAGGCAGCGATGGGTGGGGAGGGCAGAGGGAGCAGTGGGAGCAGAGGCAAGAGAAGGCATGGGGATGGTGTGAAAGGGGAGAGAAGGCTCACGGGAGGGCAGAGCGTGCAGCGGATCTCCCCTGAGTGCGGGTCGGGCTCTGCCTGCTGGCCATCAGGGCACGGCTCTGATGGGGTGAGACGAGACACGGCGAGGACATGGGAGGCATGGGGGAGAGAGGTGCGGGTAGAGGAATGCTTGTGGCTGAGCCAAGTGGACCAGGAGGAATGGCACCGTGTGGGCATTGTAGGCTGTAGCATGGCATGGCTTGGCATAGTATGAAATGGTGTGGCATGCATGGCATGGCATCTCACCACAGTCAAGGGGCGTGTCCATTGGCAGAGTGATGTTGGATGGGTCACAGATCTGAGGCTGGATCCACTGCCACTTCTGCATGCATACATGCATGATGGAGGGAGGCAAGAAGCACAGTGAGGAGACATGCACGGAAGGATGTCACGGGCAACCCACGCAGTGATTGCAAGAGGGCAGGGGCATGATGGAGAGACAGCCATGGCATGGCATGGGCTCACCATGATTCGCTTCTTGGAGGCGAGCTGGCATGGCGTGTATGTGATGGTGGAATCGCTCAGACTGCATGCTGACCCGCGATGGGGGAAAGAGAAGAGAAGAGAGGTGGCATGAGGGAGAGGTATGAGATGAGAATGTGTGGTGCGAGAAGATGGTGAGGTGAGAGTGACAGGAGGCCACACATGTGGCAATGGTGGATTGCACGCCCATGCGGGCGAGGATTGCACGCCCATGCGGGCGAGGATTGCACGCCCATGCGGGCGAGGATTGCACGCCCATGCGGGCGAGGATTGCACGCCCATGCGGGCGAGGATTGCACGCCCATGCGGGCGAGGATTGCACGCCCATGCGGGCGAGGATTGCACGCCCATGCGGGCGAGGATTGCACGCCCATGCGGGCGAGGATTGCACGCCCATGCGGGCGAGGATTGCACGCCCATGCGGGCGAGGATTGCACGCCCATGCGGGCGAGGATTGCACGCCCATGCGGGCGAGGATTGCACGCCCATGCGGGCGAGGATTGCACGCCCATGCGGGCGAGGATTGCACGCCCATGCGGGCGAGGATTGCACGCCCATGCGGGCGAGGATTGCACGCCCATGCGGGCGAGGATTGCACGCCCATGCGGGCGAGGATTGCACGCCCATGCGGGCGAGGATTGCACGCCCATGCGGGCGAGGATTGCACGCCCATGCGGGCGAGGATTGCACGCCCATGCGGGCGAGGATTGCACGCCCATGCGGGCGAGGATTGCACGCCCATGCGGGCGAGGATTGCACGCCCATGCGGGCGAGGATTGCACGCCCATGCGGGCGAGGATTGCACGCCCATGCGGGCGAGGATTGCACGCCCATGCGGGCGAGGATTGCACGCCCATGCGGGCGAGGATTGCACGCCCATGCGGGCGAGGATTGCACGCCCATGCGGGCGAGGATTGCACGCCCATGCGGGCGAGGATTGCACGCCCATGCGGGCGAGGATTGCACGCCCATGCGGGCGAGGATTGCACGCCCATGCGGGCGAGGATTGCACGCCCATGCGGGCGAGGATTGCACGCCCATGCGGGCGAGGATTGCACGCCCATGCGGGCGAGGATTGCACGCCCATGCGGGCGAGGATTGCACGCCCATGCGGGCGAGGATTGCACGCCCATGCGGGCGAGGATTGCACGCCCATGCGGGCGAGGATTGCACGCCCATGCGGGCGAGGATTGCACGCCCATGCGGGCGAGGATTGCACGCCCATGCGGGCGAGGATTGCACGCCCATGCGGGCGAGGATTGCACGCCCATGCGGGCGAGGATTGCACGCCCATGCGGGCGAGGATTGCACGCCCATGCGGGCGAGGATTGCACGCCCATGCGGGCGAGGATTGCACGCCCATGCGGGCGAGGATTGCACGCCCATGCGGGCGAGGATTGCACGCCCATGCGGGCGAGGATTGCACGCCCATGCGGGCGAGGATTGCACGCCCATGCGGGCGAGGATTGCACGCCCATGCGGGCGAGGATTGCACGCCCATGCGGGCGAGGATTGCACGCCCATGCGGGCGAGGATTGCACGCCCATGCGGGCGAGGATTGCACGCCCATGCGGGCGAGGATTGCACGCCCATGCGGGCGAGGATTGCACGCCCATGCGGGCGAGGATTGCACGCCCATGCGGGCGAGGATTGCACGCCCATGCGGGCGAGGATTGCACGCCCATGCGGGCGAGGATTGCACGCCCATGCGGGCGAGGATTGCACGCCCATGCGGGCGAGGATTGCACGCCCATGCGGGCGAGGATTGCACGCCCATGCGGGCGAGGATTGCACGCCCATGCGGGCGAGGATTGCACGCCCATGCGGGCGAGGATTGCACGCCCATGCGGGCGAGGATTGCACGCCCATGCGGGCGAGGATTGCACGCCCATGCGGGCGAGGATTGCACGCCCATGCGGGCGAGGATTGCACGCCCATGCGGGCGAGGATTGCACGCCCATGCGGGCGAGGATTGCACGCCCATGCGGGCGAGGATTGCACGCCCATGCGGGCGAGGATTGCACGCCCATGCGGGCGAGGATTGCACGCCCATGCGGGCGAGGATTGCACGCCCATGCGGGCGAGGATTGCACGCCCATGCGGGCGAGGATTGCACGCCCATGCGGGCGAGGATTGCACGCCCATGCGGGCGAGGATTGCACGCCCATGCGGGCGAGGATTGCACGCCCATGCGGGCGAGGATTGCACGCCCATGCGGGCGAGGATTGCACGCCCATGCGGGCGAGGATTGCACGCCCATGCGGGCGAGGATTGCACGCCCATGCGGGCGAGGATTGCACGCCCATGCGGGCGAGGATTGCACGCCCATGCGGGCGAGGATTGCACGCCCATGCGGGCGAGGATTGCACGCCCATGCGGGCGAGGATTGCACGCCCATGCGGGCGAGGATTGCACGCCCATGCGGGCGAGGATTGCACGCCCATGCGGGCGAGGATTGCACGCCCATGCGGGCGAGGATTGCACGCCCATGCGGGCGAGGATTGCACGCCCATGCGGGCGAGGATTGCACGCCCATGCGGGCGAGGATTGCACGCCCATGCGGGCGAGGATTGCACGCCCATGCGGGCGAGGATTGCACGCCCATGCGGGCGAGGATTGCACGCCCATGCGGGCGAGGATTGCACGCCCATGCGGGCGAGGATTGCACGCCCATGCGGGCGAGGATTGCACGCCCATGCGGGCGAGGATTGCACGCCCATGCGGGCGAGGATTGCACGCCCATGCGGGCGAGGATTGCACGCCCATGCGGGCGAGGATTGCACGCCCATGCGGGCGAGGATTGCACGCCCATGCGGGCGAGGATTGCACGCCCATGCGGGCGAGGATTGCACGCCCATGCGGGCGAGGATTGCACGCCCATGCGGGCGAGGATTGCACGCCCATGAGGGCAAGGATTGCACGCCCATGAGGGCAAGGATTGCACGCCCATGAGGGCAAGGATTGCACGCCCATGAGGGCAAGGATTGCACGCCCATGAGGGCAAGGATTGCACGCCCATGAGGGCAAGGATTGCACGCCCATGAGGGCAAGGATTGCACGCCCATGAGGGCAAGGATTGCACGCCCATGAGGGCAAGGATTGCACGCCCATGAGGGCAAGGATTGCACGCCCATGAGGGCAAGGATTGCACGCCCATGAGGGCAAGGATTGCACGCCCATGAGGGCAAGGATTGCACGCCCATGAGGGCAAGGATTGCACGCCCATGAGGGCAAGGATTGCACGCCCATGAGGGCAAGGATTGCACGCCCATGAGGGCAAGGATTGCACGCCCATGAGGGCAAGGATTGCACGCCCATGAGGGCAAGGATTGCACGCCCATGAGGGCAAGGATTGCACGCCCATGAGGGCAAGGATTGCACGCCCATGAGGGCAAGGATTGCACGCCCATGAGGGCAAGGATTGCACGCCCATGAGGGCAAGGATTGCACGCCCATGAGGGCAAGGATTGCACGCCCATGAGGGCAAGGATTGCACGCCCATGAGGGCAAGGATTGCACGCCCATGAGGGCAAGGATTGCACGCCCATGAGGGCAAGGATTGCACGCCCATGAGGGCAAGGATTGCACGCCCATGAGGGCAAGGATTGCACGCCCATGAGGGCAAGGATTGCACGCCCATGAGGGCAAGGATTGCACGCCCATGAGGGCAAGGATTGCACGCCCATGAGGGCAAGGATTGCACGCCCATGAGGGCAAGGATTGCACGCCCATGAGGGCAAGGATTGCACGCCCATGAGGGCAAGGATTGCACGCCCATGAGGGCAAGGATTGCACGCCCATGAGGGCAAGGATTGCACGCCCATGAGGGCAAGGATTGCACGCCCATGAGGGCAAGGATTGCACGCCCATGAGGGCAAGGATTGCACGCCCATGAGGGCAAGGATTGCACGCCCATGCGGGCAAGGATTGCACGCCCATGAGGGCAAGGATTGCACGCCCATGAGGGCAAGGATTGCACGCCCATGCGGGCAAGGATTGCACGCCCATGCGGGGAAGGATTGCACGCCCATGCGGGCAAGGATTGCACGCCCATGAGGGCAAGGATTGCACGCCCATGCGGGCAAGGATTGCACGCCCATGCGGGCAAGGATTGCACGCCCATGCGGGCAAGGATTGCACGCCCATGAGGGCAAGGATTGCACGCCCATGAGGGCAAGGATTGCACGCCCATGCGGGCAAGGATTGCACGCCCATGCGGGCAAGGATTGCACGCCCATGCGGGCAAGGATTGCACGCCCATGAGGGCAAGGATTGCACGCCCATGAGGGCAAGGATTGCACGCCCATGAGGGCAAGGATTGCACGCCCATGCGGGCAAGGATTGCACGCCCATGAGGGCAAGGATTGCACGCCCATGAGGGCAAGGATTGCACGCCCATGAGGGCAAGGATTGCACGCCCATGCGGGCAAGGATTGCACGCCCATGCGGGCAAGGATTGCACGCCCATGCGGGCAAGGATTGCACGCCCATGAGGGCAAGGATTGCACGCCCATGAGGGCAAGGATTGCACGTCCATGAGGGCAAGGATTGCACGCCCATGAGGGCAAGGATTGCACGCCCATGAGGGCAAGGATTGCACGCCCATGAGGGCAAGGATTGCACGCCCATGAGGGCAAGGATTGCACGCCCATGCGGGCAAGGATTGCACGCCCATGCGGGCAAGGATTGCACGCCCATGCGGGCAAGGATTGCACGCCCATGCGGGCAAGGATTGCACGCCCATGCGGGCAAGGACTGCACGCCCATGCGGGCAAGGATTGCACGCCCATGCGGGCAAGGATTGCACGCCCATGCGGGCAAGGATTGCACGCCCATGCGGGCAAGGATTGCACGCCCATGCGGGCAAGGATTGCACGCCCATGCGGGCAAGGATTGCACGCCCATGCGGGCAAGGATTGCACGCCCATGCGGGCAAGGATTGCACGCCCATGAGGGCAAGGATTGCACGCCCATGAGGGCAAGGATTGCACGCCCATGAGGGCAAGGATTGCACGCCCATGAGGGCAAGGATTGCACGCCCATGAGGGCAAGGATTGCACGCCCATGCGGGCAAGGATTGCACGCCCATGCGGGCAAGGATTGCACGCCCATGCGGGCAAGGATTGCACGCCCATGAGGGCAAGGATTGCACGCCCATGAGGGCAAGGATTGCACGCCCATGAGGGCAAGGATTGCACGCCCATGAGGGCAGGGATTGCACGCCCATGCGGGCAAGGATTGCACGCCCATGAGGGCAAGGATTGCACGCCCATGAGGGCAAGGATTGCACGCCCATGAGGGCAAGGATTGCACGTCCATGAGGGCAAGGATTGCACGCCCATGAGGGCAAGGATTGCACGCCCATGAGGGCAAGGATTGCACGCCCATGAGGGCAAGGATTGCACGCCCATGAGGGCAAGGATTGCACGCCCATGAGGGCAAGGATTGCACGCCCATGAGGGCAAGGATTGCACGCCCGTGAGGGCAAGGATTGCAAGCCCGTGAGGGCAAGGATTGCACGCCCATGAGGGCAAGGATTGCACGCCCATGAGGGCAAGGATTGCACGCCCATGAGGGCAAGGATTGCACGCCCATGAGGGCAAGGATTGCACGCCCATGCGGGCAAGGATTGCACGCCCATGCGGGCAAGGATTGCACGCCCATGCGGGCAAGGATTGCACGCCCATGAGGGCAAGGATTGCACGCCCATGAGGGCAAGGATTGCACGTCCATGAGGGCAAGGATTGCACGCCCATGAGGGCAAGGATTGCACGCCCATGAGGGCAAGGATTGCACGCCCATGAGGGCAAGGATTGCACGCCCATGAGGGCAAGGATTGCACGCCCATGAGGGCAAGGATTGCACGCCCATGAGGGCAAGGATTGCACGCCCGTGAGGGCAAGGATTGCAAGCCCATGAGGGCAAGGATTGCACGCCCATGAGGGCAAGGATTGCACGCCCATGAGGGCAAGGATTGCACGCCCATGAGGGCAAGGATTGCACGCCCATGAGGGCAAGGATTGCACGCCCATGAGGGCAAGGATTGCACGCCCATGAGGGCAAGGATTGCACGCCCATGAGGGCAAGGATTGCACGCCCATGAGGGCAAGGATTGCACGCCCATGAGGGCAAGGATTGCACGCCCATGCGGGCAAGGATTGCACGCCCATGAGGGCAAGGATTGCACGCCCATGAGGGCAAGGATTGCACGCCCATGCGGGCAAGGATTGCACGCCCATGAGGGCAAGGATTGCACGCCCATGAGGGCAAGGATTGCACGCCCATGAGGGCAAGGATTGCACGCCCATGAAGGCAAGGATTGCACGCCCATGAGGGCAAGGATTGCACGCCCATGAGGGCAAGGATTGCACGCCCATGAGGGCAAGGATTGCACGCCCATGCGGGCAAGGATTGCACGCCCATGCGGGCAAGGATTGCACGCCCATGCGGGCAAGGATTGCACGCCCATGCGGGCAAGGATTGCACGCCCATGAGGGCAAGGATTGCACGCCCATGCGGGCAAGGATTGCACGCCCATGAGGGCAAGGATTGCACGCCCATGCGGGCAAGGATTGCACGCCCATGCGGGCAAGGATTGCACGCCCATGCGGGCAAGGATTGCACGCCCATGAGGGCAAGGATTGCACGCCCATGAGGGCAAGGATTGCACGCCCATGAGGGCAAGGATTGCACGCCCATGAGGGCAAGGATTGCACGCCCATGAGGGCAAGGATTGCACGCCCATGAGGGCAAGGATTGCACGCCCATGAGGGCAAGGATTGCACGCCCATGAGGGCAAGGATTGCACGCCCATGCGGGCAAGGATTGCACGCCCATGCGGGCAAGGATTGCACGCCCATGCGGGCAAGGATTGCACGCCCATGCGGGCAAGGATTGCACGCCCATGCGGGCAAGGATTGCACGCCCATGAGGGCAAGGATTGCACGCCCATGAGGGCAAGGATTGCACGCCCATGAGGGCAAGGATTGCACGCCCATGAAGGCAAGGATTGCACGCCCATGAGGGCAAGGATTGCACGCCCATGAGGGCAAGGATTGCACGCCCATGAGGGCAAGGATTGCACGCCCATGCGGGCAAGGATTGCACGCCCATGCGGGCAAGGATTGCACGCCCATGCGGGCAAGGATTGCACGCCCATGCGGGCAAGGATTGCACGCCCATGAGGGCAAGGATTGCACGCCCATGCGGGCAAGGATTGCACGCCCATGCGGGCAAGGATTGCACGCCCATGCGGGCAAGGATTGCACGCCCATGCGGGCAAGGATTGCACGCCCATGCGGGCAAGGATTGCACGCCTATGCGGGCAAGGATTGCACGCCCATGAGGGCAAGGATTGCACGCCCATGCGGGCAAGGATTGCACGCCCATGAGGGCAAGGATTGCACGCCCATGAGGGCAAGGATTGCACGCCCATGAGGGCAAGGATTGCACGCCCATGAGGGCAAGGATTGCACGCCCATGAGGGCAAGGATTGCACGCCCATGCGGGCAAGGATTGCACGCCCATGAGGGCAAGGATTGCACGCCCATGAGGGCAAGGATTGCACGCCCATGAGGGCAAGGATTGCACGCCCATGAGGGCAAGGATTGCACGCCCATGAGGGCAAGGATTGCACGCCCATGAGGGCAAGGATTGCACGCCCATGCGGGCAAGGATTGCACGCCCATGCGGGCAAGGATTGCACGCCCATGCGGGCAAGGATTGCACGCCCATGAGGGCAAGGATTGCACGCCCATGAGGGCAAGGATTGCACGCCCATGAGGGCAAGGATTGCACGCCCATGAGGGCAAGGATTGCACGCCCATGAGGGCAAGGATTGCACGCCCATGAGGGCAAGGATTGCACGCCCATGAGGGCAAGGATTGCACGCCCATGAGGGCAAGGATTGCACGCCCATGCGGGCAAGGATTGCACGCCCATGAGGGCAAGGATTGCACGCCCATGAGGGCAAGGATTGCACGCCCATGAGGGCAAGGATTGCACGCCCATGAGGGCAAGGATTGCACGCCCATGAGGGCAAGGATTGCACGCCCATGAGGGCAAGGATTGCACGCCCATGAGGGCAAGGATTGCACGCCCATGAGGGCAAGGATTGCACGCCCATGAGGGCAAGGATTGCACGCCCATGCGGGCAAGGATTGCACGCCCATGAGGGCAAGGATTGCACGCCCATGAGGGCAAGGATTGCACGCCCATGAGGGCAAGGATTGCACGCCCATGAGGGCAAGGATTGCAAGCCCGTGAGGGCAAGGATTGCACGCCCATGAGGGCAAGGATTGCACGCCCATGAGGGCAAGGCTTGCAGTCTCACGGAGACAGGGCTTGCAGGCTCACGGAGACAGGGCTTGCAGGCTCACGGAGACAGGGCTTGCAGGCTCACGGAGACAGGGCTTGCAGGCTCACGGAGACAGGGCTTGCAGGCTCACGGAGACAGGGCTTGCAGGCTCACGGAGGCGGGGCTTGCACTCGGTGCGGGGGACGATGCGCGCATATGCGCTGCTCCCACATGCCGTGCACTCTGACGCCCCCTCCCTGCCACCATGGGTACACACAACGGTACACAGACACGCACACATGCACATTATATCCGCAAATGCGAATAGGTGAGGGTGTGCCACAAGAGGTACGTGGGCATAGAGCCTTGTGCAAGCCGGCACATGGAGGATGAAAAGGTGTTGTGCCTCACGGTGTGCACACTGCACGAGCAAGACTCACATGGAACATAGCAATGCACAAACGAAAAAGAAGGCCAGCATCTCAGATGAAAGCAATAGAAAGAGGAGTTTTCTGATGGATGCCTGGGTCACGTGGCCAGCCCACCCCCCTGCTCCCCACAACAGCCCCCACGTGGTAGCCTCATTTCATGTGCTGCACCCAATGCAGTTGGCTTTATTGACTCCGCTGACTCCTCTGACCTCCGGCGACTCACTTGGAGATGGTGTTCTCGGGACATGGCTCACACGCACCCGCGCCCTCCGCACTGCTCACACACACATGGCCACATGGGGGACAAATGGGGTGAGGAAGGGAGTGGTGGAGGAGGGGGGAGGGGAGGTGGGAAGGAGGGGAGTAAGGGAGGAGTGTTGAATTTGAGTCAACTTGAATTTGTCCTCGAACGGCATTGAAGATGCGACCACGGAAGGCGTGAGTGGTGATGCAAGTGCGAGTGCAAATGCAAGTGCAAGTGCAAGTGCAAGTGCGAGTGCGAGTGCGGTGATGACCTGTGGAAGCCAGCAGGGCATGGCGTGCAGAGGAAGTCGTTGAAGGCCACCCCGTCCACCTCTATGTACTGCCACGTGAGGGGAGGGGGGGATGAGATGATGGCGTGATGGTGCTGATGGGGCAATGAAAGTGAGGCATGCACACAAGCCTCAGCACTGCAGGCTGAGGGACACTGGATGCCATGATGATGTGCGGGCGTGAGTGAATGCACTGAGGGACTGGCATGCTGCCATGGATTCAGAATGTGGCTGGCATGGCGGTGGCACGGAGATGGCATGCATGCGCTGCAGCGTACTCAACGCCCATCCGGGTACGGCTGTCCCCGAAATGGGGCACGCGCTTCTGGTGATCGATGGGGGTTTTAGCAACTAAATGCACAGCCGGTATAATGCTGCTTACCGAAGCGCCTTCTCCCTACGGGGGGTTGGTTTCCTCCAGGGATCTCCTTAAAGCCCAAAAAAAAAAAAAAAAAAAGCGCACTGACTGGGATGGTGGCGATGTCCTCCCCCTTGCTCCACTTGTCGTCCTTGCTGTACACCCACACCAGCCGGTGTTGCCCCGCCTCCACCGGGAACACCATCTCCCGCGGCTCAAACTGCCGCCATGCAGGGGGGCGCACAGGCACAGCGCAACACAAAGTGGTGATTTTTGTGTCGAATTTGAATACGCCGTCTCGTGTGGCCCAAACTGCTGCAAGTGTGGCGCACACAGGCACAGCGACGGGGAAGGGGTGGGTTAAAGGCATGAACCACACACTTAAGGCCTCATGAGGAATGGTGATGGGACAGAGATGGGAGGGAGGAGAAGGGAAGGAGACAAGATGTGGGAGGAAGACGATGAGAGGGGCTAGCTACAGGCATGAGAGGTACCTGGTAAGAGGTGAGCGCCATGAGAGGTTCGGAGAGAGAGTCGATGTAGAAGGCGAGCCCATCATGGCCCATCTCCGCACTCACTGTGAAGTTGAACTTCACGTACCTGTGCAGGGCGGGAGGGATGAGAGGAGGCAGAGTGAAAGGAAAGAGAGTGGAGGAGCGCGATGGCAGGGTGGGGCGAGCCCATCGTGCCCCATCTCCGCACTCACTGTGAAGTTGAACTTCACGTCACGTACCTGCACAGGAGGGGGGGGGGGGGGGGGGATGAGAGGGGAAAGGGTGAAAGGAGGGAGAGTGGAGCGGCGGTTAGCGGTACATACAAACGGGTTGTTACATCTAGCTGTTTTACCATGCCCCATCTCCACGCTCACTGTGAAGTTAAACCTCACGTATCTGGAAGGGGATTTGGGATGGGGGAGAGGAAGGGGGTTGTGGGGAGAGGGTGGAAAGAGGGAAAGTGGAGGAGCAATTAGTGGTGCAGAGGGATGGTGGGGGTCCATCTTTCGTTAACATGCCACCCTCTTTGGTTTGCGCATCTGCTCGCCCCCCACCTACTCATACCCCTGCCTTGGCCCCCGTGTCCCACTATCACTCACTCACTGCCGCATTGACGTCTCAAAAGACCCCTGTGAAGCAAGCACCACAGCGTGCCAGCCAGCCCAGCAGCGTCTCACCCGTCTCGCACGAGGTGCACGTCGAGGGAGAGCGAGGAGAGCAGGTTGTTGTGGCAGTTGTACGCCGGGTCCGATGCACACACCTCCTGAAGGGGACGAGTCAAGCAGGTTCGGGATGAACAAGGTTTGGGAGGGTCAACAGTGGATGTGAGGGCAGAGTGCAAGGAGGGTGCAGGGGAAGGTAGAAAGCATGAAACGAGAAGTGGCAGAGCATGTGTAAGGGTGAGATAGCGGCACACAGCTTAGGCAGAGCCAAGGAGGGAGCAGGGGAAGGAGGGGGATAACTGGGAGCCAGTCAGTAGTGCAGCCATATGCCCCCGCCTCAAGCTCCTTAGGCGCGTCCTAAAGCCATCTCACCGGGAGCCAGTCGTTGATGTAGTCGTATGCGCCCGCCTCAAACGCTCCATCATCCGCGTACCAGCTGAGCAGCAGGAAGGGAAGGGGACATGCAGCCACACACAGAGGCGAGACTGAGGGATTGTGAAGGAGGCAGGCAAGGAGTATGCAGGGGCACACAGGGCCACACAGGGTGAGGAGTTTGTGCAGGCAGTAAGGAAGGGCGGGGATGAAATGGTTCAACAGGCAAGAGCGGAATGTAGTGAAACACAAACTCCACAACCTGAAGGCGGAGAAGCAGAGCTGGGGGGGATTGCATGGAGAAAGAGCATGGAGGAGCGAGGGGGTCTCAAGGGTGGAAGGGGGCAGCAAGGGTAGTAGGAGGCAGAAACGGCGGAAGGGGGCGGCATGGGCGGAGAGAGGAGCAACGTACGGGTCGCAGTCAAACGTGCCAGTGGCGTTGGTGAACCTGCACTCCGTCTGAGGGGAGTAGGATGGGAGGGTGGTGGGGATGCCACAGGTTTGCACAGCTGAGGGCTGGACGAGAATCGACTGAGTCCACCTGAGAGGTGATCATACAAGCGCCCACCAGCGAACAGCATGAGCGCGCACACTACACGAACAGCGTTATACTGGTATCAGAAATTCTGCATGTCATGTCATGCATTTGTGCTCGCCTCCATGCCATACCATGCACACATGCGCACCTTGAAGTAGCGGGGGTCGATCTCAGATATGTCTTGGAACCGCCACTTCCCCCCCATGCTGTACGTGCCTGGTGCGAGGAACACGGAGGAGGGTGGAAGGGTGGGTGTGGCACGTGAGAGGGAGAGAGCAAGCAAGCACCTTGAACTGCACCTGCTCCTCACGCCCCTTCCTCCCGATAAACTAACTCACAAGGCACCGCTTCTCCCTGCTTGTCCTTCCCCTCCCCTCGCCCCCTCACCTCACTCCTATGTTGAGAAAGACGCACGGAGGACGCTGCGTCCTGCATCTGGACGCAGCGTCTGGACACACGGACGCAGGACGCACGGCGAATTTTTTTTCGGGCTGCCCGGAAAAAAAAAATCCGATCGCGAAATTGACATTCGCGATTTCGACATTCGCCCCCCCCCTTGCCCAAATCGCCATTCTAAAACAGCCCCCCCAACATTTCATAACCCTTCATGCAAATTTGAAATTCGCAAACCTCTCGACCACTTCCCATGCCACATAACATTTTTTTTGCCTGCCCGGGGGGTTTTTTTGCCCTGCCCGGGCTTGCATCTTTTGGTGCGTCTTTCTGGTCCTGGTGCTGCGTCTTGCGTCTGGACGCATGCGTCCAGGACGCAGGACGCGTCTTTCTCAACATAGCCTCACTCCACCTCTTGCTCCCAGCAGGAGTGGGAGGGAGCGACGCACCTGCAGGGCACTTGTGGCAGTGGTCCTGGTGCAGGTACTGCCCCGCCCCGCACTGCATGTCTGCCACACGTGCAGGGCGTGGGGGGGGTGAGGGGGGTGACAAGGGGGTGTTTGGGGGGGGGGGGGGGGGGGCGGACGCACAAGTCGATATGCAGGAACTGAAAGAGTGTGGCGAGTGGAGACGAGGCGAGTGAGGCTTGTGAGTGGAGACGAGGCGAGTGAGGCTTGTGAGTGAAGACGAGGCGAGTGAGGCTCGTGAGAGCATCAGCAGCACAGGTGAGGCGATGGCTGGCGGGTCTGGGTTAGGTGTGAGGGGGGGAGTAGAAGTGTGTGGGGTGGGGGCCATACCACAGGGAATGAAGGTGGTGGGAGGCAGGTGAATGGAGCCTCGTCTGTAGGGGTCGCACTCCTGGCGGAAGAAATATATCACCTGATTAGGAATAGACAGGGGCAGGGAGAGTGGGGGGAGGGAAGGGAACCAGGGGACTCGTGGTGCATGTAAGAAGGGGATACAGTGGGGCATGAGAATCGGTAGCAGGTGGATGTGAATGAGTGGAGGGCAGGGCAGGATGGGAAGAGTGAGCAGAGAGGAGCACACGGGATGGAGGAAGCAACCCAGGTCGCACCTCCCCCAGGGCGCACCTCCCCCAGGGCGCACCTCCCCCAGGGCGCACCTTCCCCAGGGAGCACCTCCCCCAGGGCGCACCTCCCCCAGGGCGCACCTCCCCCAGGGCGCAACTCCCCCAGGGCGCAACTCCCCCAGGGCGCAACTCCCCCAGGGCGCAACTCCCCCAGGGCGCAACTCCCCCAGGGCGCAACTCCCCCAGGGCGCAACTCCCCCAGGGCGCAACTCCCCCAGGGCGCAACTCCCCCAGGGCGCAACTCCCCCAGGGCGCAACTCCCCCAGGGCGCAACTCCCCCAGGGCGCAACCCCCACACGGGCGCACCACCCTGGGTCGCACCTCCCCCAGGGCGCAACTCCCCCAGGGCGCAACTCCCCCAGGGCGCAACTCCCCCAGGGCGCACCTCCCCCAGGGCGCACCTCCCCCAGGGCGCACCTCCCCCAGGGCGCAACTCCCCCAGGGCGCAACTCCCCCAGGGCGCAACTCCCCCAGGGCGCAACTCCCCCAGGGCGCAACTCCCCCAGGGCGCAACTCCCCCAGGGCGCAACTCCCCCAGGGCGCAACTCCCCCAGGGCGCAACTCCCCCAGGGCGCAACTCCCCCAGGGCGCAACTCCCCCAGGGCGCAACTCCCCCAGGGCGCAACTCCCCCAGGGCGCAACTCCCCCAGGGCGCAACTCCCCCAGGGCGCAACTCCCCCAGGGCGCAACTCCCCCAGGGCGCAACTCCCCCAGGGCGCACCACCCTGGGCGCACCCCCGGGCGCACCACCCTGGGTCGCACCTCCCCCAGGGCGCAACTCCCCCAGGGCGCAACTCCCCCAGGGCGCAACTCCCCCAGGGCGCACCTCCCCCAGGGCGCACCTCCCCCAGGGCGCACCTCCCCCAGGGCGCAACTCCCCCAGGGCGCAACTCCCCCAGGGCGCAACTCCCCCAGGGCGCAACTCCCCCAGGGCGCAACTCCCCCAGGGCGCAACTCCCCCAGGGCGCAACTCCCCCAGGGCGCACCTCCCCCAGGGCGCACCTCCCCCAGGGCGCACCTCCCCCAGGGCGCAACTCCCCCAGGGCGCAACTCCCCCAGGGCGCACCTCCCCCAGGGCGCACCTCCCCCAGGGCGCAACTCCCCCAGGGCGCAACTCCCCCAGGGCGCAACTCCCCCAGGGCGCAACTCCCCCAGGGCGCAACTCCCCCAGGGCGCAACTCCCCCAGGGCGCAACCCCCACACGGGCGCACCACCCTGGGTCGCACCTCAACAAAACGCGTAGCGGAGATGTTGAGACCAGTGAGGGAGTCACGGATGAAGTCACAGTCGGAGTAGATGGCGTCCACGTGTGCCTCCCCGCATGGCGCATTCGGTAGGCCTGTAGTGTAGGGCATGGCATGGCGTGGCATGCGTGGGATGGCATGGCAGTTCTCGTGTCGCATGTGGGTGCATGCGAGTTGCACATGAATGGTAGTGGTTTGAAATGCATGGAGCATTGTGTTGGGGCAGAAAAACTGACTGATGAGGCAGAAACGCTTATGGAAATCGAGCACAGGGGAGAGGAAGGTGGGGTGGGAGTGGAGGAGTGGAGGAGGAACACTGACTGCAGTAGACCTTGTCCACGGGGATGAGCTGTGACTGCTGTGCTCCCGTGCAGTCTGGCGAGGCAGCATGTGAGAATGGCAGGGAGGGGAGGACAGGGATGGGGGCAGAGGAACAAGAGGTTAACGTTGGTAGGAGGTTAGGAGCTATGTGGAGAAAGACGCTGGGGCAGCCCTGCGTCCTGCGTCCGGACGCAGCGTCCGGACGCAAAGACGCAGGACGCGCGTCCGGACGCAGGACGCACCCTGGAAATTTTTTCGGGCAGACCGAGATTTTTTTTTTTTCGCGATCGCGAAATTGACATTCGCGATTTCGTCGCGAAAGTCAATTTCGCCGAAATTCGACACCCCCCAAGCAAATTCGACCCCCAAAACCAGCCATCTAATTCACCCCTAACCCCCTCCCCTTTTTGCAAAATTGATTTGGAAATCCAACCCCTCTCCACCACTCCACAACTAGGAAACCCAACCTTTGTGGTCCACCACCCCCACAAAGCCCATTTAGTTCATGAAACCTCTCATTTGTGCTCCCTTTTCTCACAACCCAATTCTCTTTCAAAAACCCTAGTGGTTTTAGCTCCTTTCCGCGCACCACCGTTATGGCTAGCTCCTTGTGTTCGCGACCTTGTGTTCGTTGCGCACAACTGGAACGTTGTGCACAACCACCACAAGGGTGCGGCGGGTGCGGGGCCGAGTGGGGAAGTCAGGAAGGCGGGAATAGTGGAGGGGAACATTCCCCCCCGACCCCTTCCCGAGGGGTACAAGCTTGAGGAGGATGGAGAGGTGGAGGTGGATGAGGATGACCTCACCTTCGACGAGTACAAGGAGCAGGAGGATTTGGAGAAGGAGGAGGAGAAGGGGATGGAGAGCGAGGAGGATGAGTGATGCATGTTAGTTAGTGGTAGTATGCATGCATGCTAAACAACCCTTGGACTAATTGTGATTATGGAAATTTGGGGCTCACCTTCATGTTCTATTGTTGTGGCTGAAATTTTGTTGTTGAGGAGAAATTTTGCTATGAAAGTGTGTTCCCCCCCCCCCCCCCCCCTCTTACCCCCTCTTCCCTCTGCCCTATAACTTTTTTTTGGCTGCCCGGGGGGTTTTTTTTGGCTGCCCGGACCTGCGTCTTTTGCTGCGTCTCGGGGGCCCTAAACTAGCGTCCAGCGTCTGGACGCATGCGTCTGGACGCATGCGTCCAGGACGCTGGACGCGTCTTTCTCCACATAGGTTAGGAGGAGGAGGAGAGTGTCAGGAATACGGACTGACAGGTATGTGTTGCGTGCTGCATGGTGCATGGTGCATGGTTCATGGTGCATGGTGCATGGTTCATGGTGCATGGTGCAGAGCAGACTCACTGCCTGGCAGGTACTGCATGTTGCAGGTGGCACCATCACGAGAGGCCGTGTAGATGACATCAAAGTCCCCTGGCGTGCATGCTGCCGGGCAGGGGCACACGGGGCGATGGGTGGATCAGCATGAAATGGGGGAGATGTGGGACGATCAGCTAGAAAAGGAGGAGATGGGGATGATCAAGCAAGAAGCCCGGAAATGGATGGATGGGTTGAGGCCACTGTGCCTTGACTTTGTCTGAGCATATGGCGTCATTCACACCAGCACACCCTTCTGCTGCACTCACTACACGGCTCCTGTTGCGAGGGCTGCACGGGGAACGGATCGGTGCAGTTGCGCGCCTTCACAAACGACACCGTGCGCCGCCCCTTGCCTGCATCCCGCAGGGCAAGGCACGGGGGGAGAAGCAGAGGTAGAGGGAGGGGAAGGCGGAGGAAGGGACAGCCAGTAGGAGTTTGGGGGTAAAGCTCGGATACGGTTAAGGTGATGGCGAGGTTTGTGTGTTTTGAGTCGACTTAAAACACGCTGAAGCAGCAGCGAGTGGTAACGGCAAGTTAGTGTGTGTGTGTGTGGTGAGGAAGAAGGCACAGGCATCACGCTGGTTACAACCGAGCACGCCAGCTACATTTCGCGAGGCGAACACAAGCCCGCCTCTCGTTAGAGAAACACTGCTCACTGTCACATGTGCCCGACTGCCTGATGTAATCCGTCAGCCCGCACGTCGTCGACAGCTGCTCCGCCTCCTCGCGCGACGTTTCCGCGCCCCCCTCCTCTTGCGCCGCCGCTCCACTCACGCTTTCTCCCTCCGCAGGGGAAGGCGGAGGCGCAACTTCTTGGGAAGCAGGCGGAGCAAGTGCGTTATTCCGCGCATCGCTGCTCGGCTCTGTCCCGCTTCCAGCAGGCGGTGCCTGTGGGGGAGCCGACAGCTGCGGCGGCTGCTGCGCCGGTGGCTCCGCGGATTGCTGGGATGAAGGCGCGCTTGCAGTGCTGACAGATTGTCGATCATTCAAGGGCGGCGGGGATTCAGCCGGAGAATGTGCGAACAACTCGGCCTGCACTGGTGGCGATGTTCGTGGTGGAGTCTGATTGGACGGTTGCTGATCGACAGATGACGGGGAGGTTGCATTTATCCTAGATTGTGAGCCTGGAACGGCTTGGGACTGCTGCGGCAATCCCGAGGGTTGCCCGCTTGGAGGATCATTGGCCAGTGAAGGCGGAATGTACACCAGTAAAATTACTAGAACGGCCGTAACCGTGAACCAATACGCCATTGGCAGATTGACGCCAGCAATGCGAATGCCTTCTTCACGAACCAGTCGGGCCCCTAGACTGACAATGTAGGGGATAATGCTATCTCCATTCCTAACAGTATGTAATTCCCTGGGTATCCGTGAGGGTGGGATGGATGATATCGAGACCAGGCAATGGAGGTTCATGCCATCAAAAGGTAGATGTGCAAGATAATAGTGTAACTGCATCTCGCAACCAATACGATTGTGTCGCTGGCGCAGTCGTTCTTCAGAAGCCATGCCCCCCCTCAAACCTCGCGCTTCGCTGTTGTTGAAAGCCACAGCTGGATGTTGAGAAGGTAGTCAGGTTATAAGCGGTTTTAGCTATGTTTTCGGGTTTATTGTTGTATTAGATGCTTCATATCTCTGTAGATTTGAATGAGAATATACTAAATTTTCTCAGAATACATAATATTATGAAATATTATTATTATTTTCACTTAATTGCAGTATCTACGACATATAATTGATCAGAAGACAGTCACCCCAAGTGCATATTGCATATGCATTCTACCTTAGCATAGTTGGTGTTTTTCACATTTTTCCAGATTACCACAATTTGAAACTCCAGCATTCGCGCCGCCGTCGGGAACGGGGAAAATGGGCAAAAGCCGAGTCAAGCCGCATCTTTGCAAAATGACCGTTCCAAATGTTCGGTCCTCTTCATTTCCTCCCGTTGCCTCCCCAAATCCCCACTCCCACCAACACGGTCCACCACATTCACTTCCCACCCCCAAAGCCTTCGATCCCCTTACTCATCCCACGTTGGTTTCAGTTTCCCATTTTGACGACCGTTCACGTGACGCATTTGCAATCCCTTTGTTCATCCAGCACTTCGGAGACTCCAAGAGCACTTTCAGGGTCACATCTTGTGTAGATTAGCCGTTTGACATGCGCCTTCTGCAGCCCCCTTGGTACGCTTTCCATCACAATGGCGGTAGGCAGTGGACGTATACTACAGGAGAGCATATCCGAATATGACGTGTTAACGTCGTCTCCATCTAAGACCGTTTTGAAGTTTATCCACTCAGAGCACGATGCAGCGTCTAGCTCCGTTTCGCCTCTATCCATGTCGCTATCGCTGTCGGGGACTTTCAGCTGTGACAGTTCGCGCTTCAGCTGCGACGGCGCGCCTGACGACACGGGCTGGGAGAGCCCCTCGGATTGCGGTGGCGATGCGGTCTTCGGCGCGCAATACGGGGAGCGCCTCCCCAGCCGCAGGCGGAGCTTCGCAGGCGCGGGCACGAACCTCTCGATCGGACGGCTGTCGGATGGGCATTTGAGTCTGGAGCGCGGGTGCAAGTCGGCGACAGTGTCGCGCGTTAGCAGCCGCCTGCTGGCCCCCACGCAGTCGTCGCAAGCCAAGTCGCGTTCTCTCGCCCATCGGCGCGCAGCGGAGGACGGTGGGTCGGTGGGGCGCGAACCGTTCAGCACCTCGTCGCAGCCGCGGAGGACCAAAGCTGGCGCGACAGCAGCAGGAACGGCCCGCGGAACGGCCGCAGCAGCAAACTCAAACGAGCGTGTGCATGCGCCGGTTTGTAGTCCTCCTCGCGGAAAGGTTTCTGTGGAAAATTCAGCACAAAACGCGGCGAAAGGCGGGCAGCGCGGGCAGGGGCGGCGAATGTCGGACGCGAGTGAGAATCTGGCGCTGAAGCTGGCCAAGCACCGACAGGGGCTGGGGGTGGTGGGCGCCGGAGATCCCAAGACGGTTGCTGGTGGCGCCGCTGCCGCTTCACAGGTGCCACGTGGCGGGAGGGTGGGATCCCGAGGGGGGGCTGCGGCTCCGCCCGTGTCCCGCAATGGTCTGGCGGCGGACAGGAAGCCTCTGGTTGCGGGGTCGGCGGGAAACGTTGCGCAGAGCCGCGTTGCGGCGGGGGAAGTGAAGCCCCGGCAGCGCCTGGCGGACGGGAAAGGAGCGCCTGGTAGTAGCGGCGGACGAGTTCCCGCGCATGGCGGACCGGACGGGGGAAAGGGGCTGCGGGGACACAGTGCGGGGGGGTCAGGTAACGGTAAGGGGAAGAACGAAAAGTGGGTAGTGGGGACAATCGGGATGGGGAACGGTGGGAGGGGCGTGAGCGCAGAGCAGAGGATGAAGGAGCGTAATGAAGGGCAAGAGGCAGCCCGTCACACAGACCCGTCGCGAGGGACGAGGGGCAGTGCAAGGCGGGTAGCTGCGCAAGGCTTGGGAAGCAGCTGCGGCGCAAAAGGCCCACGTGGATGCGATCAGAGTGGCACAGAGGATGGGTCTGCGCCCCACACGACACTCCACACTGCACCTCGCGCGCAACATACTCCTTCCCACCAACACCCAACTCCTCCTCCACCTCCGTCTGATCAATTGCCTTTGGTCACCCAGCCAATTGGTAACCAGTCCATCAGCCAAACCAACTTCACCCTCCCGCCCAGCCTCCTGCTCCTCCCGCTCACCTTCCCCTCCCCCAGCCCCTCCTCCGCGGGGTCCGCGGACGACGCGGACATGCCGTGGGCGGAGCTGATAGGCGACGTGCGCGGCATGGAGCAGGACGTGCAGTACGTGCGGCACGCCATGCTCGCCGCTGGCTTCCTCTCCGACGCCCTCCCGCCGCTCTTCTCCCCGTACCTCCCCATCAACCCCGCCTTCTTCCAGCACCTCGAATCCGCCTTCCTCATGCGCTGCTGCGCGCACGCCACGCACGACCCGTCGCACCTGACCGCCAGCCTGCCCTCGCTCCCTCTCGCCATACCTGCATCTTACCACGAGGAGCGCCGTCAGCGCATGCTGCTCTTTGATGCCGTCAACGAGGCTCTCGGCCGCCGCCTCGCGCCTTTCCTCCCCCGCGCGCCGTGGTCCCCCGCGCCCGTGCAAGTGGCGCCGCGCAGGCGGCCCCTGGGGATGGAGCTGGTGCAAGAGGTGTGGTCGGAGATTCACTCATGGCCCGTGGCGTCCACTGATGAGGTGTACACTGTACTGGATGAGTCAGCGAGGCGTGATTTGTGGAGGGGCACGGAGAGGTGGCGTGCACAGGATGTAGCGGAGGAGGAGCCGGGTGTTGTGTTTGATGTGGAAGGGATGTTGCTGGAGGAGCTGCTAGAGGAGGTGTGCCTGGAGTTTGTGGAGGTGGAGCAAAGGCGGGCGAGTAAGAGGATGTCGGTGCATGGGGTGGTGAAGGCACGAATTACATCGTCGGGCTTTGTCTGTGTGGCTCATGTGAAGGGATCTGGAAGGGATGGAGTGGTGGCACTACTTGGTCCTGCTTGCCCTACTGCTGTGAGCAAGAACCTTCTTCGGCTTCCAAGGATGTGATGAGTTGCCAGCCAAAGGAATAAAAATTGTTTATAAAGTTCCTGAAATCCTTGTGTCGCTTTTTTGTGTAGCTGTTTCGTTGGTGCTGTTATTAGTACTATGGTAGAATGACATTGACACCCTTATTGTTCTATATACGCTTCAGTTTTTTCTTGTCACTCACTCATGTCACTTGCACTTACTATAAATAATTAGGGAAGAATTCGTTTGCTGGATAAAGTTAGCTCTGTAGAGAATCTCGGCTACGAATGAAATTGAACTCTACCCAGAGGAGTTCAGGAAGACCCGCCAAAGTCCCCAAACGAATATTCCCTAGAAAATCGGGAAAATATGTCAATGGTAACTTACATGGGGCAGTATAACGCGTACGGTAACGATTTCAACGCGTTTGGTAACTCGCTTAACGCGTTTGGTAACTCGCTTAACACGTTTGGTAACTCGCTTAACGCGTATGGTAACTATACACTAGCAGCCCATCACGCGAATGGTAACTACATGAAACTCCCGCCGAAATGATCCTGAAATGAAGGAATTTATCAAATTTGAAAGCTTTTACGCACAATTTTATCTTTTTTGAACAAGTTCCGCCGCGAATTTGAAGGACCCTGTTTAGTCTAATACCACGGACCAAGAAGTTTCAAAAGTTTATATATATATATATATATGGCTCGTACAAAAACGGTTCAAATCATATTTTTTATAGCATGATTGCAAACTTGCAAAATGATTAAAAAAAAACTTTCCGCGAAAGGGCATCGGGCTTTTAAGTTTTATAATTACTGCAAGGTTGGCCATTTTTTTTTCATGTGGAAAAGATACACCTCTTTAGAATTACATGTTTCATTTTTCAAAAAAGAACCATATACGCCTTGTCGCAAGGAGTTTAGGGTTGATGCTCCCAAATTCATTTGCCATCTGAAAGGGGCACAGATTTGTTTGCCCCGGTTGCACTATAGAATGAAGTACAAACAGTTTGTGGAAGGAGCGCCAGAATATCAGTTGCATATAAAACTTTGTTTTTGAAACACTTACGGTTTTGCAATTAGCTTGAAAATCGGAAAGTGTGTCAGGATATCGGGAACTGTGTCAGAATTTTGGAAAACTGTGTCAGAATCTCGGAGAGTGTGTCAGAGGTTTCTGCTTCAAGATTCGTCAATTTAGTCTGACGCGAGCGGGAAAAACCAGAATCAGGGTCATTTTGGGCGAGGGTTTCTTCTAGTTACCATTCGCGTGATGGGCTGCTAGTGTATAGTTACCATATGCGTTAAGCGAGTTACCAAATGTGTTAAGCGAGTTACCAAACGCGTTAAGCGAGTTACCAAACGCGTTGAAATCGTTACCGTACGCGTTATACTGCCCCATGTAAGTTACCATTGACATATTTTCCCTAGAAAATCTGCTACATCTCGAGAATGCCGACGGATTCAGGCAACTTGAATTTCTCCAATTTATCGCTCAACCCATCGTTGCTGCTACTTCAGTCATTACCCTTCTCGATGTTCGTGTTGAGCTTCCTCGGAACTCCACGTAGTCCCCCGGAATAAAAAGTTTATTACCGCACTCGCCAAACTCTTCGCGACCTCGCATCGCATGTGACCGACGTGCTGCATGCTCCGTTGGACTGAATCTCCATTCTCCTAGGCCACCACCAGCACTATCAGCCATTGCGTTATTGGTCGACATCCTTCTGGTATCGCCTACATTGCAACTACCATTTTGATATGTAAGACGGCCGCTTTGACGCTATTACTAGGACCTACTAGCCGCAAGTTCCCGCTTCCATCGGAATCATGGCGGAGAGGGAGCAAGGCGCGTCGACGAGTCCTCCCCCTGCCGTGCAGCCAGCACCAGACGTCGCGAATTCCCCGCCGTCAGCCTCCGAGTCTCCCGAGGCGGCCGGCTCGGGGTGGGTGCGGCTGGTGCACGTGGAGATCGCAGGCGCGCGGAAGCTTCTCCCCAAGGACGGCGCCTTCTCCAGCCCCTTCTGCGTCGTGCGTGCCAACTGCGTTGCCGCTGCGGCTGGCGATCCTTCAATTGCTTGCCTGGAGCTTACCACATGACGCGCCAGTGGTCGCGTATTCACTGTCTATACCCTGTTCATGTCGTGTGATGGCATGGTACGGCATGGTACGGCGCAAGGCACGGCATGGCACGGATTTGCATGGCTTGTCATGGCACGGCAATACATGGCATGGAATGGCATGGAATGGCATGGGCATGGCACGCCGTGGCATGGAATGGCATGGCATGGCATGGCATGACATCGCATGGCATGATGGTGGGTGGCAGGTGGAGTTCAACGGTCATACGAAGCGCACGCACACAGTGGAGAGGGACCTCAACCCCGTGTGGGATGAGAAGGTGCGATAGGGGAGATGAATGCTCACACACTGAGGTTATTGCCCTTAATGCGCTCGTCTAAGCAATTCTCCTCCACTTACTTTCCTCGCAAGTCACGTGACTCATTGCATTCACCATTTTAGTGACCCACCCAATAGTACATTGATGTTTGATGGAACTTTGAGTCAGCACCTAGCTTGCTGGGCGGAAAACGGTTGAACCCATGAATACCTTCCCAGTCGTTATCCTCTCCATGTTCTTCTCTAATTCCTCTCTCCCCTCGCTCCCGTCCTCTTCCTCACCCCAAATCCAGTTCGTGTTTGCAGTCCCCATCCCTTCACCCCTCAACCCCTCACTGGCCGACCACCAAGAGCCAGTCCACGTCACCATCTACACCCTCTCCTCTGCCGCCGCCCCTCTTGTTGCGGCCGGCAGTATCTCGGCCAGCTTTCGCCGCCCGGTGCTGGGCTCCGCCCCTAGTGGGGGGGCGGCAGGCGATCCGGAGAGAAGCGTGTTTCTGGGGAAGGTGCAGGTGAGGGCTGGAGGGGGAGGGAGGTGGCACTTGATAGCTTGAAGAAGGGAGGTGAAGGTGAGAGCTGCCCCATTCTTGTTATCTGCCCCAGCAGCTGTCGTCTCCTCGTCACTCACACACACTGCCTCCTGCCCGCCTACCTTGCCCCTCGTCTTCACGCACACACGTGCGCGCGCGCGCACACACACACACACACACACAAGTCCTCGTCTGGCCCCATCGCCAGCATTGCCTGCCATCTCTCTCCCTCCCCTCTGCCCATGCCCCTCTCAATATCCCCACGCTCCACTGCCCCTCCAGGTGCCCGTCCGCATACATGCCCTTGCGCCCGGTATCCCTCTCCACCCCTCCGCACCCCTCGCCTGGCTGCCTCTTGAGCGCCGATCCCTTGTCAACCGCGTGCGGGGCGACCTGGGGTGAGATGGGGGGAGGGGAGGGGAGGGAGTGGGGGTTGGGGGAGTGGAGGAAAGAGGGTTGAGGGAAGGGGAGGTTCAATGCGCAGGGCGACCTGGGTGAGATGAGGGGGAAGGAGGGAGGAGGGAGCCGGGGGTGGGATGGGGGGAAGGGGAAAGGTTGAATGCATTCCGCTCACCACTCTCCACTTCCCCCGCACATCCTTTCCTGCCCCTCTCCCCCCACCCCATGCTCCACTCCCCCCCCCCCCCTCCCCTCTCACCCTGGCCGTGTCCTACCAGGACGTGCCAGCCTCATCCATCTCCTTCCCCATGCTCCACCCAATCCCCTGATCCATTTCCCCCCCCCCCCCTCCCTCTCGGTCCACCCCCACACCCCATGCTCCACGCTCCCCCACCACCCCCCAGCATGGCAGTGTCTTACCAGGACGTGCCAGCCTCATCCATCAACCCCGACTGTCTGGACGAGTTCGACAAATGCGAGGCCGACAGGTGGCACCTCCCGCCGTCCGCGTCCAGGTCATATTTTTCCGACGATGAAAACCTGCCCACAGCCCTCTCCCACCAACTCTCCAGACACAGCAGCCGCAATGCTGCCTCACATTCCTCCACTCCTCCCACCTCTCTCCCCCTTCCCACCGCTCCCCCTGTTCCCCCCACTCTTCCCACTCTCCCTACCCTCCCCACTCTCCCCCTTCTCCCCACGTTCCCCTCTCTCTACACCTCCTCCCCCCTCGCCACCATCATCTCTTCTGACGAGTCTCCTTTCGCGCCCGTTTCACCCTCCTCCACTGCCCTCTCCCCACTGCTTCCCCCCACTTCTGCTCCCGGCAATGCGCAACGCCATGCCACTGTGCCTGCTGAGAAAGCGGGGGTAAAGGGCGAGGGGCGAGGGATACAGGGGGGAGGGGAAAAGGAGGCAGATGAAGGAAACGGAGAGGGGGAGGGGGAAGAGGAGGGAGAGGGAGAAGAGGAGGGAGAGGAGGGAGAGGAGGGGGAGGACGAGGTGTTGTTGGCAATGGAGCCGATTCTGTTTGTGCGCGTGGTGCAGGCGCGCTCACTGCTAGGGCTAGATCTCAATGCCTCCAGTGACCCCGTGAGTGCGCTGCTTGATGCGATCTGATATGATACGATTCAATACTGCACCACTGCATCTGCGATCTGCACCTCTCTTATTGCATTCCGATGCTTCTCCACTCATTCTACCCTCCCTCTTCACCCTTGCCCCACGTCCCCCCCCTCACCCCTCTCACCTGCCCTTCTCACCCCCTCCTTTTCACAACCCGTTCTTTTGTCCCTCCCATCCCCGTTTGCATGTGCGTGTCAGTTCGCACTGGTGACAGTGAGTCATGCGCGCTCACCTCCCACACACCTCTCACCATTTCCTTTCCCCGTCCCCCATGTGCACGTGCATGTCAGTTCGCGATGGTGACGGTGGGCAAGGTCACAGCCCGCACTCGCACCGTCCCTGATGACGTCAACCCCAAGTGGAACCAGGTCACCCTCGCTCTTCCCTCGCTCGCTCTCCCTCCTTTGCCACTGCTCCCCTTCTTGCACCTCCATGTGACTCCTCCCACTCCTTGCCCCTCTCCCCATTCACCCATGGCGTCCTTCTGGCCTCCTCTCCGCCCCTGCAGGTCTTTGCCATCGGCCAGTCCGCCACGTCCTTTTCTCTCGCCAATCCCTCTTCCACGCTCGAGATAGTGCTCAAGAACGAGGTGTGTATGTGTGTGTGTGTGTGTGTGTGCGCGCGCGCGCGCTTATGAACAAGGTATGTATGTATGTGTGCTCTTGAACAACGTATGCTTGTGCTCAAGAACAAAAGGTTTTGTCTGTGTGCGCTAGAGCGAGAGGGGTGCACATGTGCAAGCGGGCGAGTTTCACATCTCTGGCAGGCAATGTCACCATGCACTGACAATCCTCTCAGGCAGGCAATGTCACCATGCACTGACAATCCTCTCTGGCAGGCAATGTCACCATGCACTGACAATCCTCTCTGGCAGGCAATGTCACCATGCACTGACAATCCTCTCTAGCAGGCAATGTCACCATGCACTGACAATCCTCTCTGGCAGGCAATGTCACCATGCACTGACAATCCTCTCTGGCAGGCAATGTCACCATGCACTGACAATCCTCTCTGGCAGGCAATGTCACCATGCACTGACAATCCTCTGGCAGGCAATGTCACCATGCACTGACAATCCTCTCTGGCAGGCAATGTCACCATGCACTGACAATCCTCTCTGGCAGGCAATGTCACCATGCACTGACAATCCTCTCTGGCAGGCAATGTCACCATGCACTGACAATCCTCTCTGGCAGGCAATGTCACCATGCACTGACAATCCTCTCTGGCAGGCAATGTCACCATGCACTGACAATCCTCTCTGGCAGGCAATGTCACCATGCATTGACAATCCTCTCTGGCAGGCAATGTCACCATGCACTGACAATCCTCTCTTGCAGGCAATGTCACCATGCACTGACAATCCTCTCTGGCAGGCAATGTCACCATGCACTGACAATCCTCTCTGGCAGGCAATGTCACCATGCACTGACAATCCTCTCTGGCAGGCAATGTCACCATGCACTGACAATCCTCTCTGGCAGGCAATGTCACCATGCACTGACAATCCTCTCTGGCAGGCAATGTCACCATGCACTGACAATCGTCTCTTGCAGGCAATGTCACCATGCACTGACAATCCTCTCTGGCAGGCAATGTCACCATGCACTGACAATCCTCTCTGGCAGGCAATGTCACCATGCACTGACAATCCTCTCTGGCAGGCAATGACACCATGCACTGACAATCCTCTCTGGCAGGCAATGTCACCATGCACCTCTCGCCTTCATGTCCTCACCTCTCTCTTACGCCTTCTCTACTCCTCAACCCCTCTTTTCCCCCATTCTCCAACCCCCAACCCACACCTTCTCCATCGGCCTTCAATCAGAACCGCCTCATGCAGTACTCCTTCCTGGGAGCCATCACGCTGCCAATCGCCTCGCTCCCCCACTGCGTTCCCCCCTTGCCCCTTCCTCCCACCCCTTCTCCCCCCCTCTTATCAGAACCGCCTGATGAGGGACTCCTTCCTGGGAGCCATCACGCTGCCAGTCGCCTCTCTCCCCCACCGCGTCCCCCCTGCCCCCCCCGTTGACCCGCGCTGGATTCGCCTCGACAAGAAAGCTGCCAGCGCCCCTGCCAACACTGCTCGCAGCACTGTAAAAGGTAGGATTGCTGTTATGGGTGCACGGATGCCAAAGGTAGCACGGATGTCAAAGGTAGCACTGATGTCAAAGGTAGCACTGATGTCAAAGGCAGCACTGATGTCAAAGGCAGCACTGATGTCAAAGGCAGCACTGATGTCAAAGGTAGCACTGATGTCAAAGGCAGCACTGATGTCAAAGGCAGCACTGATGTCGAAGGCAGCACTGATGTGAAAGGCAGCACTGATGTGAAAGGCAGCACTGACGTGAAAGGCAGCACTGATGTCAAAGGCAGCACTGATGTCAAAGGCAGCACTGATGTCAAAGGCAGCACTGATGTCAAAGGCAGCACTAATGTCAAAGGCAGCACTGACTCTGCTGCGTGTCACAGGTCCATACTCCTCCATACCCATCCCTTCCATGCTCCTCCATCCCATCCTTCCTTGCTGGTCAATCCTGTGCATCCCTCCATGCTCCTCCATCCCATCCTTCCTTGCTGGTCAATCCTGTGCATCCCTCCATGCTCCTCCATCCCATCCTTCCTTGCTGGTCAATCCTGTGCATCCCTCCATGCTCCTCCATCCCATCCTTCCTTGCTGGTCAATCCTGTGCATCCCTCCATGCTCCTCCATCCCATCCTTCCTTGCTGGTCAATCCTGTGCATCCCTCCATGCTCCTCCATCCCATCCTTCCTTGCTGGTCAATCCTGTGCATCCCTCCATGCTCCCCCATCCCATCCTTCCTTGCTGGTCAATCCTGTGCATCCCTCCATGCTCCTCCATCCCATCCTTCCTTGCTGGTCAATCCTGTGCATCCCTCCATGCTCCTCCATCCCATCCTTCCTTGCTGGTCAATCCTGTGCATCCCTCCATGCTCCTCCATCCCATCCTTCCTTGCTGGTCAATCCTGTGCATCCCTCCATGCTCCTCCATCCCATCCTTCCTTGCTGGTCAATCCTGTGCATCCCTCCATGCTCCTCCATCCCATCCTTCCTTGCTGGTCAATCCTGTGCATCCCTCCATGCTCCTCCATCCCATCCTTCCTTGCTGGTCAATCCTGTGCATCCCTCCATGCTCCTCCATCCCATCCTTCCTTGCTGGTCAATCCTGTGCATCCCTCCATGCTCCTCCATCCCATCCTTCCTTGCTGGTCAATCCTGTGCATCCCTCCATGCTCCTCCATCCCATCCTTCCTTGCTGGTCAATCCTGTTCATCCCTCCATGCTCCTCCATCCCATCCTTCCTTGCTGGTCAATCCTGTGCATCCCTCCATGCTCCTCCATCCCATCCTTCCTTGCTGGTCAATCCTGTGCATCCCTCCATGCTCCTCCATCCCATCGCTCCTTGCTCCCTGACCCCCAGGCGAGCTGCAGGTGGCGGCGTGGATAGGCGTGAGGGCGGATGAGCAGTTTGCAGAGGTGTGGCAGTCGGACGTGAAGGGCGTGGCGCACCACCGCTCCCGCACCTACCCCTCTCCACGCCTCTGGTACCTGCGGGTTCACCCCTGCAAGCTGGAGCACCTCTCTGTACCACGTGTTGCACCCAACCTGGTAAATTTTGCAGCATCTCAAAACCCACGTCTCTAATTCTTTACGAAACGCCTATGGAACACCTCTGGTACGCCCCTGGTACGCTTCTGGTACGCCTCTGGTGTCTTTACGATACCTGTGTGAGCACCCCTGCAAGCCCACGTCTCTCCATGCCACGCCTTGCACCCAGCCTTATGAGACAGGAATTGATGCTGTTAGATGTGCTCGCATGTGATGCCATATGCTCACATGTGATGCCATATGCTCGCATGTGATGCCATATGCTCGCATGTGATGCCATATGCTCGCATGTGATGCCATATGCTCGCATGTGATGCTATATGCTCGCATGTGATGCCATATGCTCGCATGTGATGTCATATGCTCGCATGTGATGCCATATGCTCGCATGTGATGCCATATGCTCGGATGTGATGCCATATGCTCGCATGTGATGCCATATGCTCGCATCTGATGTCATATGCTCGCATGTGATGCCATATGCTCGCATGTGATGCCATGTGCTCGCATGTGATGCCATATTCTCACATGTGATGCCATATGCTCACATGTGATGCCATATGCTCGCATGTGATGCCATATGCTCACATGTGATGCCATATGCTCGCATGTGATGCCATGTGCTCGCATGTGATGCCATATGCTCACATGTGATGCCATATGCTCGTATCCCATGTTGGTCGAATCTGCTCTTTTTCCCCACCCGTCCTCCCTGCACCCTCCCACCAATCAGGTGGTGCGGCTACGAGTGCCCTGCGGCATGCAGGTGCAGACAAGCCCCGCCACCCACCGCACTCCGGTGCCGCCCGGCGAAAGTTATGCGGGCGGGGTGGGTGACCGCAAAGCGAGCGGCTGTAGCGACGAGGAGGATGAGGATGACGAGGGGGAGGAGGGCGACAAGGAGGGTGAGGACGGGGGTCGGGAGGAGGAGAGGAGAGTGGGTGGAGATGAGGGTAGCGGTGTTGGCGGGAAGGAGAGGAGCAGCCCACCCAAGGGAGCAGCGACGGGTGCGGTAGCAAGCCCAGGCTCACGCCCTGGCAGTCCTGCTGTCACAGGCGCAGGGACAGACGTGCCAGCCGGCCCACAAACAGCCACAGGCATGGGCGCAGGCACGGGCACAGGCACAGGCACAGGCACGGGCACAGGCACGGGCACAGGCACGGGCACAGGCTCAGGCACAAGCGAAGAAGCAAGTTCAGGTGGCCTGAGGCAGCGGCTTGGGCAGCGGTTGCAGAACAGGCAGGTCAACGTGAGCAACGCCATGGGCAACGTGAGCAACGCCATGGGCAATGTGAGCAACGCCATGGGCAATGTGAGCAACGCCATGGGCAATGTGAGCACCGCTATTGGCAACGTGGGCAGTGCTATGGGCAGCATGCGGGGCCTTGGGGGCAGCCTGCGCAGCATAGGAGGCAGCATGCGCATGCCCCGTCTTCCCCCTCCGCAGGGCAATAGCAGATGGGGCCAAGACAGGCACAGGACCAGGCGCAGCGCAGGGCGCAGCGCAGGGCGCAGGGCAGGGCACAGGGCAGGGTACGGAGCATGGGACAGGGCAGGGCACGGAGCATGGGACAGGGCAGGGCACAGAGCAGGGCGCTGGGGAGAGGACAGGTGCAGGCAGGGTTGCAGGAGGGGAGGAGGGGCGGGAGAAGGGGGTGTGGGTGTGGGGTGAGGGCGATGAGCAGGTGGTGGTGGTGGCGGAGCCACTGAATGGGCACCTACACGTGCAGATCGTGAATGTCATCTCTCCCTCCTGGGTATGTTCTGAGTCGACAGTCGACAGTTGACTGAGAGATCACCTGCAAGTGCAAGTACAGTTCGTCCCTGTCATCTCGCTTTCTTTAGTAAAGCCACGCAGGTGGGCTAACTTGGTTGATCAGCCTGTTTTGATCCCATGCACCCTTTCTTTCAGCCCATCCCACACTCCTCCTCAGAACCTCTTAACACCCTTTTCCACCCCCCCTCCCTGCACCCCCTGTGGCAGGAAGAGGTGGTGGCATCAGCAAGCGTGCTCATCTCCTCCATCCCCACCCGCATCACCCTCGACCCCCTCGAACCCATCTCCATCGCTCTCCAAACCACCGCTGCTGCAGCCATCACCACTGCAAACCGCTCCCCCTCTGCCGACTCTCTCGAATCCCCCTCTAAACCATCCCCAGCCCCCATTCTCGCCTCCTCCCTCTCCACCTCCTTCCTTTCCCTCTCCTCCTCCCCTCCCTCCTCCTCCCTCTGCCCCACGCCTCTCCTCTCCCTCCTCCTCGCCCTGGAGGGCGGCCACCACGTATTCACCCAACACCCCCGCTTCCTCTCCTCCCCGCTCCCCGCCGCCCGCTCGCTCTACCCGCCGCCCATCGCGCGCCTCGAGATCGGAATCATATCGGCGAAGAATCTGCAGCGGCCGGTGCCGAGCTCACTGGGGAGTGCGGGGATGGATGTGTATGTGGTGGTGCGGTATGGCGGCATGTGGGCGCGCACAAGGACTGTCAGCTGGGAGGTCAACCCTGTGTGGCGTGAGCAGTTTAACTGGCCTGTTTATGACCTCTGCACCGTTGTCACCATCGGTGTGTTTGAAAACAAGTAAGTGTGTGTGCCCACGATGTGCCATCACTGCTCCCTCCCCTTCCCCTCATGCCGTGTCTTGCAATCCAGAAACCCCTCTTCTTCCCGTTCTCAACTTCCGCATCTCACGCACAACCACTCATATTTCCCTCTTCCCCCTCTCATCCGCCCATCCCCCATCCCCAATCCCCCATTCCCCCATCCCCTACTTCGCCCACCGCCCCCACCCCCCAACCAGGCACAACAGGGGCGTAACCACGTCAACAGACACCCCTCTGGGCCGCATCCGCATGCGCCTCAGCGCCATAGACTCCACACGAGCCCTCTCCTCACACCAGCCGCTGCTGTGCCTCACCAAGAAGGGCGTCAAGCAGCTAGGCCAACTGCACCTCGCCCTGCGCCTCTCCCCCTCCATCCCCCTCTCCCGCCTCGCTGCCACCTACATCCGCCCCACGCTCCCCCCCGCGCACTACCACTTCCCCATCCCGGAATCCCAAGAACCAGCCCTCTTACAGGAGGCAGTGGGCCTGCTGTGTGCGCAGCTGGGAGCATTCGACCCGCCGTTACGAGCCGAGGTGGTTCAGTACATGGGGGAGTGCGATGAGGACGTGCTGTCCGTGCGGCGGCTTAAAGCCAACCTGCAGCGGATCAAGATGCTGCGGGCGCGGTTCTCTGCCACGGCTGCTGGCTTCAAGGCCGTACGGTCCTGGGAGAGCCTTCCTCTCACGCTCACCGTTCACTTAGCTTACGCGCTAGCACTGTTCTACCCCTCCTTCATCCTCCCCACGCTCTTCTTTCTCCTCACCTGGCAACTGCTCGCCTCCTCCCCCACTCGCCCCCTTGGCCCTCCTCTGATGGATCTGAAGCTTTCGCAGGGGGAGGGTAGGGAAGGGGGGGGCGGAGATGGGAGGGGAGGAGGGGGATGATGGGGATGAGGAGGACGAAGAGCAGGAAAAAGGTGGTTCCGGTCCAGTGGCGTACTATAAGGTATGAGCGGGGGCATGGGAGGAAGTGGTCGTGAGATACTCTTTATCTCATTTGCACCGCCATCATGGTTCAAACCCATTGCACTCTTCCGTTTCTCCCTCCCCCCCCTTCCCTCTTTCCCCTTCCTCCTCCCCCGCTCTGCCCTGCTCTGCCCTGCTCTGCTCTGCTCTGCTCTGCTCTGCTCTGCTCTGCTCTGCTCTGCTCTGCTCTGCGCTGCTCTGCCCGCCACAGGCCCTGAGGGCCAAGTACGACAAGCTCATGGACGGTGCTGGGAGGGTGCAACGGGGCCTTGGGGTCATTGCTGACGCAGCAGAGAAGATAGAGATGCTGCTGACGTGGCGAGATCCAAGGTGAGGTCTAACCATTGCCTTCTCCCTCATCATCCCGTGCACCATGACCCACATCTTGCACCATGACCCACATCTTGCACCATGACCCACATCTTGCACCATGACCCACATCTTGCACCATGACCCACATCTTGCACCATGACCCACATCGTGCACCATGACCCACATCTTGCACCATGACCCACATCTTGCACCATGACCCACATCGTGCACCATGACCCACATCTTGCACCATGACCCACATCTTTCACACTCTTCACTTCCCGTTTCTTTCCCTTTCCGCATATCACACACGCTACCCACTGTCCCTTAATGCCACACCGCTGTTCTGCACTCTCTCCCCCCTTACCCCTCCACCCTCACCCCCCCAACACGTCCTCCCCTCCCATCGCCTCAGAGCCACACTCCTGCTCATGTCACCATGTGCAGCGCTCATGCTGCTGCTGCTGCTCTTTTGAGCCTCCTCGAAAGTCCCTCTCTGTTCATCCCACCCAAACCCCCCCTGCTCCCTTTCCCACCCCCTCAGAGCCACGTTCCTGCTCATGTCAGCGTGCACGGCGCTCATGGCTCTGCTGCTGCTGTTGCCCTTCCGCCCCGTGGCGCTAGCAGTGGGCTTCTGGGCGATGAGACACCCGCGTCTGCGCCGCATCACGCCCACCAAGGTCAAATGCTTCCTTGCTCGCCTGCCCACCCGCGCCGACACCATCTATTGAAGACTTCTGAGGCACCTCAAAAGGTGGGCTTCTGGGCGCTCAGTCACCCACACCCACACCTGTGCTGCATCACTCCCACCACCAAGGTGAAGTGCTTCCTTGCTCACCTGCCCACTCGCGCTGACACCATCTACGGGTGATGTGAGCAACGGAGGTGTGTTTGGGTGTGCGTGTCACTTCTCTGCTGCAAATGCTGCTGTGGGTACGTGTGTGAAGGGAGTTGGTGTGCTACAGTGCAATGAGAGTGGTGATAGTGTTGGCTCGGTACACGGGTCATGGGCTGCAATGTGTTTGTGTCAAAAGCACTCAGCGCAAGCACCACTCAAGTGGCATGCCGACAGCTTTCAAGCTGAAGCGCCTTACCTTCTGTTACAACACTAATGATCTAATTGCATGGTATATACATGTATAATCTACAGGTATGTACGGTATATATCCACCTCACAGCCAACTGCCACCAAGACCAAGAAGCATCCCTTCAACCTCAACCCCTCTTCATTCAGCCACCAATCCTGGCCTTGCGGTCGCTGCCTGTAGTGCCTCTCCCTGCCTGCCCCACATGCTCCATGCCACCACTGCCCACACCAGTCACACTTGCGGCACCCACGCCACCCTTTGCCTTCCGCTCCTGCCCCTGCAGCTGGCACTCCTTGAGCTGCGTCTCGTACCCCATCCCCCTTTTAAACTGCTCCGCTAAGCGATCCACAGCGAGCTCAGGACCCGTGAGGTCGGCTCGCAGCTGCCTCCTTTCTTCCAGCTGCACCCTGTACCGCTGCTCCACCACTGGGGAAGGGGAGGGAGAGAGTGGGGACATCGGGAAGGGAGGAGAGGGACATGGAGAGTTGGAGATTGCGTAAGGCAGGGTGAGTGAGAGTGAGTGGGCTGAAAGAAGAGATGACAGTGCCAGTAGCAATCACAGGCCAGAAACATTTCCGGTTGGTTTTCAGAAGCAATCAGCAGCGCACCTTTGGACAGTTCCAGTTTCAGCTGCCCGTCAGCAAAGAACGCCCCCATGAGCTGTGGCACGCCCAGCGGCAACGCGTCACCCTTATCAAACTGCCAGAAGTGCCACGTCTTGCCGAAAGTCTTCACGAGCTTGCTCATCACAGGCAGCTCTGCCACTGCCGGCATGCCCGGCATGATGAGCATCCCGCTCTTGACCTCATACTCGTGCGAGTGCCACATGCGCTGCTCGTCCTCGGGCAGCGAGAGGAAGATCTTTTCAGAGACGATGAATTTGACGCTGATAAGGCGCGCGGAGGGCTGGTCGGAGTCGTAGACGAGGCACTGGTGCACGTCCTCGCTGACGTGCGAGCAGTAGTGGTACGCCTCGAATTGTCGCGTCATGTCGTTGGCATAGTAGTGGAACCTGGTGGGGTGTATGGTAGGGGGACAACGAAGAACAGTACACGGATAGGCTGTTTGCATGGTTGCATGAGGGGGGCTGATCAGGGGGGTCGTAGACGAGGCACTGATGGACGTCCTCTGTGATGTGCGAGCAGTAATGGTGCGCCTCCACCTGCCGTGACATGTCGTTGGCATAGTAGTGGAATCTGATGGGGGAAATAGGCGTCAGTGCACCCTTTAGAGTTTGCATGGTCTCGAGGAGGGCTGGTCATGAGAGGGCTGGTCGGAGTCGTACACGAGGCACTGGTGCACGTCCTCTGGGACGTGCGAGCAATAGTGCGCCCTGCCGCGACATGTCGCTCGCGTAATAGTGGAACCTGATGGTGGATTGGGGGACAGAGCACGAAAGGACTCAAGCAGCTCGGTTTATCTGGCGAATCAGATAATAGAGGACTGACGCGCAGAAGTGTTGGCCGATCTGGCGGATGGGCGCGAACCGTTGCACGGCGCTCGCGCCCGTCTCCATCACCCTCGTCGTCACGCTCTTCGCCCCGCCCGGCACGTCCGAGAACTCCGACGCCGCCGCGCCGCCCGTCGACAAGGACTTGTGCGCCGCCATGACGTCGCAATGCGCTCGCGAGGAACGATTTGGAAAGTTGCGCAGAATAGCGTTGATGGACAGGAAACACAGCGTCGCACGCTTGAGAGGGAAGCTGATCGCTAAATGATACAGCAGGTCGAGGAGTTGAGCAAGAACCTGATCGGGAGATCGGGAGATGGTTCACGGCTTGCCCCGGGGGAGCTGCTCCAGCAGCGTGCATGCGGAAGCGTCCGCAGTATGGCGTGCATGCAGGTGAGTGTGATGTTCGATGTGCACGTGGTGGAGTGGAGAGTGGGTGGGATGGTTGGAGGAGGCGGCAAAATGTGGGGCGCGGAATGGAATATGATCACATGAGGGGTCAGACGAGATTACGAGGGGGACGGGCCGCAATCAGTTTGCAATTTCATGACATTTGTGAATGGGCGGGTCGCGACTTACAATGTGTGGGTTGATCCGCTTAAAGCCCGCGGCCCAAATCGCGGGCCGCGCGGGTCAAGCTTTTAAAGCCAGGATCTCAAGAGAATTGGCCTTCAATTGCAAAACACTTGCAGCGCTTGTTACCCTATTTTTGTAGGCGAATTGACTGGCTGGTTAGGAAAGTGAGCGTGCGGCACACCCACGATTTTGCCCCTAGAGCAAATGCAAAACATTTTGCTGGTACATGAGATTGTTGTGTGTGACGAGAAATTGCAGGCATTGGAGCTTCGTCACCGAACCAGTTTCCGAGCCTTGCTTGGTTCGGACTGAACTTGCGATTTGTCTTTACTTCGCACCCCTCGCTTCACACCTCGTCAGATTGTTCACCTCGCTAACCAATCGCAGCCCAGCTCCCCTCACCAACTGCAAAACAATTGAACTACTTGAGATCCTGGCTTTAAAACTTGACGAACTAGTGTTTGCAAGGTTTTAAAAAAAGCGCGCCTGCAATTTGGGACTTTCGGGGACTGAACCAACTCCCAGGGCGAAATAACCGAAATCGATAACGTTCGCCAAACCCCAGACCAGAAAAACCCCCTCGCGTCAAGCTTTTAAAAGTTGTGCAATTTGGGCTGCCGGCTTTAAGGTTCAATGTATATGTACTTGCAAATAAAGATGCTTACACTACAATTACAATCAATACAATATGAGCCACAATCCCACAACACCATCACATTGAAGCAATGCTATCTGCGACCACTAGAATCTCCAAGCAACATACAGTCCGATTCAGAAGCTGCCTCGAACGTAACGCCTGACTGTTGCTCCTCACGATTTGCTTTCGCTCCAACTCCAGACATCCCATCCAACACGGCTCCATGTGCAAATATCCCATCATTTGGCAATGAGCCCACCATGACAGGAGGCGACTGTCCCTCGCATGCCGAGAGCACCGCATCACCTGCACCTGCTCGCATCAACCCCTCTGCCTCCCCCGGACACTCCATTGGCACCACCCTGCTGCTACCCTTCTCGCTCAGCCCCTTCCCCAGCAGCAACCCATTCTCACTGTCAGCCACAGCACCATCCCCATCAACCACATCCCGAACACCAGCCTGACCGTCCTCCTTCCCACTCGCTCCCTTACTTGCCGCCCCATCAAACCCCTCCTCGCCCTCACTGCCCTCATCCTCGTCCATAAGAGCCACGTCTGGCAGGCCCGGGTCCTGAGTGAACTTCAACACGCCGTGCTGCTTCGCCCACATGAGTAGTGGGTACAGCAGCAGACCCACCAACGCCGCTATGGAGCTGCCATGACGGAGGTGGAGAGGGGATGGATGGAGGAGTGAGCAAGAAAAGGGTGGGTGAGATAGTGGGACTGAAACACCATCATGAGTAGCGGGTACAGCAGCAGTCCCACGAACGCTGCTATGGAGCTGCCAGGGAAATGGGGCAGGGGATGGCACGATGGATGGAGAATGGGGGTAAAAAGGCGGTGGGTGAGATGGTGGGAATGAGACTTTGAGACGAATATGAAGAGGATGTAAGAGCAGCGCGAGATCTTGTGTGAAGGGGGACAGGGAAGGGAAGCTGGCAATGGCAAATGCAGAACTCTCATTGACGCACCTCATGCCTCCCACCCTACAATTCCCATTTCACACCGCCCACCACCCACCTCCCACCTCCCGGATTGCACCCCACACCTCACGCCCGATGCCTCACCTGGCAATGACGGTCTGCCAGGAGGCGAGCACCATGACGAGAATCAGCAACAGCGAGGGCGGCAGACACAGGAGCACTGCTCCCATAGTGTCCACCGGGATCCTGCTAAGTGAAAAGCGGTGCACGAGAGAGAAGCAGTGGCCATGTGTGGGCATGGAGGAGGGCCATGGAGGAGAGGGCATGGAGGAGGAAACATGGGGGGAAAGGCATGCGGGAGAATGCATGGGGGAAAAGGCATGGGGAAGGGGGAGGAGCGGGTAGGGAGGGGGGAGAGGACAAAAGATATGATTTAAACCACATCGAGATAGAAAAGGGCCACTTGTTAGGCAAGGCATGATTGACGCAACAAGGTTTGAGACGTCTCAAAGCAAGGCATGATTGACGCAACAAGGTTTGAGACGTCTCAAAGCAAGGCATGACTGACGCAACAAGGTTTGAGACGTCTCAAAGCAAGGCATGATTGACGCAACAAGGTTTGAGACGTCTCAAAGCAAGGCATGATTGACGCAACAAGGTTTGAGACGTCTCAAAGCAAGGCATGATTGACTCAACAAGGTTTGAGACGTCTCAAAGCAAGGCATGACTGACGCAACAAGGTTTGAGACGTCTCAAAGCAAGGCATGATTGACGCAACAAGGTTTGAGACGTCTCAAAGCAAGGCATGATTGACGCAACAAGGTTTGAGACGTCTCAAAGCAAGGCATGACTGACGCAACAAGGTTTGAGACGTCTCAAAGCAAGGCATGATTGACGCAACAAGGTTTGAGACGTCTCAAAGCAAGGCATGATTGACGCAACAAGGTTTGAGACGTCTCAAAGCAAGGCATGATTGACTCAACAAGGTTTGAGACGTCTCAAAGCAAGGCATGACTGACGCAACAAGGTTTGAGACGTCTCAAAGCAAGGCATGATTGACGCAACAAGGTTTGAGACGTCTCAAAGCAAGGCATGATTGACGCAACAAGGTTTGAGACGTCTCAAAGCAAGGCATGATTGACGCAACAAGGTTTGAGACGTCTCAAAGCAAGGCATGATTGACGCAACAAGGTTTGAGACGTCTCAAAGCAAGGCATGATTGACGCAACAAGGTTTCAGACGTCTCAAAGCAAGGCATGATTGACGCAACAAGGTTTGAGACGTCTCAAAGCAAGGCATGATTGACACAACAAGGTTTGAGACGTCTCAAAGCAAGGCATGATTGACGCAACAAGGTTTGAGACGTCTCAAAGCAAGGCATGATTGACGCAACAAGGTTTGAGACGTCTCAAAGCAAGGCATGATTGACGCAACAAGGTTGAGAGCACACGAGCACGTGCCTGTATGGCCGGGGCAGTTCCGGCTGTGTGACCCGGAGCGCCACAAAGGCCCCGAACTCGAGCAGCATGCCGAAGCAGTAGAGGAAGTTGAGGAATTCGACGATCTGCTGGAAGCTCATCCACGACAGCAGCAGGATGCCCGTCGCGCTGCAGAGTATGCCCAGCACGGGCGTGCCGTGCCGCGAGCGGTACGTGAACACCTCGGGCAGCATGCCGCGCTCTGCCATCCCCAGCAGCTGAAACGCGTCGCTGCGTGGGTGCGAGGAGGGGGGGAGGGAGGGACAGAGGGAAAAGGGGAGGGAGGGAGGGAGAAAGGGAGAGAGGTAGAGATGGAGGAGGGAGGGAGGGAGGGAGGGAGGGAGGGAGGGAGGGAGGGAGGGAGGGAGGGAGGGAGGGAGGGAGGGAGGGAGGGAGGGAGGGAGGGAGGGAGGGAGGGAGGGAGGGAGGGAGGGAGGGAGAGAGAGGGAGGGAGGGAAAGGAGGCAGGTAAAAAATATGAAACAAAGGCAAACAACGCAAACAGCAGCCACGATGTAGGAGCAGAAACAGCAGCAGTCGAGCCACTTGCCTCCGGGACGACTTTTAAGAATCGACTCAGAACTCATCACGGCCCAAATTCCATGCATCTTCACCTCGAACACGCACCTGCTCATCTCAGCCTCAAATGCACCCATGTTCGACAGTGCAGCAGAGAATGCGATCCACCAGGCCAGCCAGCCAGCAGACCCCCAACTGACATTTCAGTCACCTGCTCAAAGAATCATTCCCACAATTCAATGGACACACCTGCTCATCTCGGCCTCGAACGCGCCCATGTTAGACAGCGCAGCGGCACATGCGATCCACCAAGCGAGCCAGCCACCTCCAATGGCGCGACCCACCACGGCCAGGTACCCATCGTCCCAGCCGTCCGGGGAGAAGGGCACGGCACCTGTGCCTGTCAGCAGTGGCACGAGGTACGACACCACCACCAGCACCACCGCCCCCATCAGCGCTCGCGGGAAGGTGCGCTTCGGCTCCTCTATCTCGCCTGCTAGCGTGCTGTGCAGGGGGGGCAGGGAGGGGGGAGGAGCGGGGAAGGTGGGGGGGGAGGGGGGGGGGGGGTTGGGTGGGGGGTTTGTCCGGTGTGTGCAGAATGGCACACACATAGCAGAAGAGGGTAGAGCTGATGCAGAAAGGAGGGTGGATGGTGAAGAAAGTTGAAAACAGTGAGCGCGACAGCCGTGGGTGAAACGGAGACAACAGAAAGCCCACCTGATACAGTCCCCAGCTGATAAGAGTCCACACACCGGAAAGAGTCCCAGTAGTTGAGAAAGGCACACTTGACGGAGCACCCACCTGACAGAGTCCCAGTAGTTGAGGTTCCAGAAGAGCGTGTTGAAGTACCCCCGCCACTGCACTCGGTTCAAATCCACCACCAGCCTGCCACCCAAGCACACAAGTCATGCCCCCAACCCGCCCGCACCCCGCAAACAGAAGGATAGAAATGAGACGGCGGGTTTTGAGGTGCCTCAGAAGAGTGTGTTGAAGTAACCCCGCCAGTGCACGCGGTTTAAATCCACCACCAGCCTGCAACCACGCACGCATAGCCATACCCCCCCACCAGCATCCCGCAAACAGAGAGCTGGAAGTTAAACGAAGGGCTGGAAATTGTTCTTGGAACCTGCTGGTGGAAAGGAGCATAAGGAGGAGGAGGCACGTGAGGACTCGTGTGACCCGCGGGTCAATTGCAGCCGATTCCACCGCCCGAGCGCGGCTGGAAGCAGGTTACCATGAATTTCGTCACGGGGTTACCTTCGAACCCTGGGGGTAACGACGCGGTAATGGTCGTCGTTGACAGACTGACAAAAGTGGCTCACTTCGCTGCGTGCAGGAAATCGATCTCAGCCGAAGAAACCGCTCGCCTGTTCATCGCGGCCGTCGTTCGACTGCACGGGATACCAGCCGCAATAATCAGCGACCGTGACACGAAGTTTACCTGCAACTTCTAGAAGAAACTTTCGGAGCAGTTTGGGACCAGGCTACAGTTCAGCTCATCGTACCACCCCGAGACCGACGGTCAAACGGAGCGGACGAATCAGACCATGGAGCAGCTGATGTGTGCCACATGTGACGACCCGACAACATGGGAGCAGCAGCTGCCGCTGATCGAGTTCGCCTACAACAACGCCACATCAGCGACGACGCAGCAGTCCCCGTTTTACATGAACTACGGGAAAAATCCAACAGTGCCCATGACGCCGAACCCGGACAACCCCACGCCACGCGCCCAACAGTTCGCCGAGATGCTTTTTTTCTTCCTTCCCTTCCCAGCTCCGCCTTTCTCCCCCCCCTCCCCTCCTTCCCCTCCCCTGCCCTCCCATGCCCTCACCCGCACATTCCTGCCTTTCCCTTTCCTTCCCCTCTCCTCCCACCCAACACTGCTATTCAGCAACCATGCCCCCAGGCAATGTAGAAACCAGCGGGCGGGTTGGATCTTGGGGATGGCGAGAAGCACCATCACAACAAAGGGCAGCAGCCCTTTCCTTCCCCTTCCCTCTCCTAACCTCCCACCCCACCCTGCTACTCAGCAACCAAGCCCCCCCCTCCCCACTCCTTAATGACGGACCAGCGGGCAGGTTGGATTTTGGGGATGGCGAGCAGCGCCATCACCACAAAGGGCAGCAGCCCAAACACTGCGAGCGCGATGGCAGTGGCGCCCACTATGGTGAGCCCACGGTAGTTCACGTATGTCAGCACCTAGCGGCGGGGGGGGAGTGGGGGACAGTCACATGGAGGAAGGATTCAGGGGATTTAAGTTTTTCAAAAGGTGCTTCCCACCCACACACTATGGTGAGCCCGCGGTAATTCACGTATGTCAGCAGCTGGCCGGGGGGAGGAATGGACAGGGCAGTCCCCAAGAGAAAGGCTTGGGAGGAGTTCAAGGTTTAAAATTGGCTTTAAGTTTGGCGCCCACTATGGTGAGCCCTTGGTAGTCCGCGTATATAAAGAGTGGGAGAGGTGGGGAGCAGGGCATTCCGGCAAGAAGGGCTTGTGCTGATTTCTATACGGAAACACCTGTTGGCTTCAAGAAAACGGAGTGGTGAGAATGGAGTGATGATAACGCACAGGGGGGACAGGCGAGAGGAGGCAGGCAGCAGAGAGCGATGCACACGAGGCAACACAGTTGTGCAACACAGCATAGCTTCCCAATAAATCACAGGCCACGCTCACATAGAAGCGACCACGGAGGGATGGAACGAACCAGAGTCATGGCGAGCAAAGCAATCATGCGAGGCAAGCCGCCGCCAAACACAGGGAGCTCGCGCTTCAAGTAGTCGAGAAAGAGCAGCGGGTAGAGCGAGTTGTCTATCACGCCACTGAGCCACTTCCACCACCCCTCCTGGAAGCCCCAGAATGGGCCAAACGCCGCTGACACCCAGACCACGTAGCCCCCGTTCTCTGGGAAGGCTGTTCCTAGCTCCGCGGTGGTCAGGGCCTCTGGCACGCTCCAGATCTGCACGGCACGGGGTGGCGGGGGAAAGGGGGATGGCGGAGCGGGGAAGGGGGGTGGCGGAGCGGGGAACGGGGGTTGGCAGAGCAGGGAATGTGGGGTGGCGGAGTGGGGAAGGGGGGTGGCGGAGCAGGGAAGGGGGAAGAGGCGCAGGAGGGAAAAGGGGCAGGAGGGAGGGCAGGGGAATGAAATGGACTCTGTTTAGTCAAGGGTTAAGAGAGGAAGGAAAGCGAATGGCAAGCGGCGTCGGAAGATGGTGTGATGGGAGTGCGTGGTGATGGAATCAGTGGACCGACATGGAAAACTGTAGAGTGTTGACGAGATGAGAGTAGGAGCAAGGGGAGAATACATATGGATGCGCCGTGAGGACGGTGGGGTGGAGAGTGTAGTGTGTGAAGGGAGAGTGTGGTGTGTGGAGATAAGAGATGAAAGATGCGGAAGATGAGGAGGGTGTGGAGGCGAGAGCAGTGCGCACGAGGGGGAAGACGGTGAAGCCCAGGATGGCGAGCAGCGGCCCGCCGTACTTCACGGCGTCCTCCACGCCGTACGGCCCGCCGGACACCTGCACAGACGAACGGAAACGAGAAGACGGGAGAATAATATCAGGAAAAGGGGAGAAGAAGCAAAAGTAATGTAAGGAGGACAAACGAAGAGCCTTTGTCTTCGTCTGAAAACGCATGAAATGCATACCTAACCTAACCTAACCTCTCGTCCCATCAAATCAAGAATCGTGCCCTCCCATGGTGCTTGGCTGACCTCGAAGAAGATGAGCGCGATGAGCGGCAGCAGCGTCAGCTTCTGGCCGTGCGGCCCGTGGCTCTTCTCAAACTGCTCGTGCGCCGCGTCCTGCCGCACACACCGACGCGCAATAACGACAATCGAAACGGTAACCTAGTCTTTTAACGAGGACAGCAGGTATTGCGATATTAGGTCGTCTAAAAGGGAAAACGGCTCGTAGTAAACGACTGTGCGGTCGGATTGCGGGACAAGATCGCGGGTACCTCATTCGAAAGCGGAGCTCCCTGCGTGAGCCGCTCCTTTTCTCCCGATACTCGCGACCCCATCGCTGGTTGCGCGCGGCACCGCGACGCCTGGCAGTGGAATAACAGAATTAGGTTCGCCAGCAACGGTCACCGCGACTTCAGCCCATACTTGAATTCGAAATTACCTTTCCCTTGCTGGAAACAGCGTCGCTAGAGCATGGGCCAATCAGTGGCGTCGCTAACGACTCTACCATAGGAGATCGGCTTCTTGCGCGCTGCCGCACAAACGGCGGAGATTCAGTGGTTATTACTGACACCAGGATGGGCCGCGGGGTCTCAGGGGACGAATGGTGCATTCGTGAAAGCTCTCTGCTCCACACTTCCGCTGGGATGGCTGTGCGCGTGAGACTGGAGGAATAATCCAATCCCAATAAAAACGCTTCGTCGGAACTTATTTCCAGTTCCCAAAGCTCGTCAAACCGCCATGGAGGCTCGGGTCAGGCAGAATCGAGGAAGTGTATTATGGGTACTTGAAAAGTGTCGAGTGCATCTCGGCCGTCCGATGAAGAAGCCGGCCAATCCCGAGGAGTGCGCGGAGTACTGTAAGGGGCGCCGGGGACACACTGCGGAAGGCTTGCCGGGCTGTGCGATGAAGTCGATGAGCGCCGTGAAAGTGCGGCTGTCCTGGCTTTTTGGACACGTGGCAGGTATTGATTGCACGAATTTCACATGGGAGCTCCACCTCCATGGTTTTCCGTTTGGTTGGAACAACTCAATTACGGAACAAACTTTCACAAAGCCAACTACACAAAGCAGAGTCACTAGAAGGTGGATTATCCTTCACCCTTTCTCAACCTTCTCTAGTGTCTCCTTGAGAATCGCAGCACACTGTGCATATGCCCCTTCCAGATCCTTCACCAATTTCTGAGAGGTCCGCCGTTGCTTCTCAACAATCCTCTCCACTTCCCCCTTGAGGCGTTGCTCCAATTCTTCCACTGACACCACTACACCCGTATGCATTGCAGAAACCTTTACAAACTCTTCCAGGTGGCGAACGGCAGCCATTCCAGAAGCCATCACATCCACCAGCCCGTTAGCAGCAGCTCTCCGCACTTCAAACGTTTCTTCCCGTGTGAACCCCGACCAACGGGACCATTTAGCCTTCTTTCGCACTCCGCCATTTTCATCTCCCCCCAAGCCTGCCCCGTGATTAGCAGCTTCAGACACATCTGCATGGCGCCGCTTTTCGCATGCATTCCCTGGCAGGAAAACACGAATAGGCGCATGGATGACTGCCACATTCCATCAAAAAGGAGTGGGCGAATGGCGCAAGAGGTGGGGCAGACTGGGGGGTGAGCAGAAACGAGGAAGGGGGAGCATCAGAACGGGTTGAGTGCCCTAGGAGGCAAAGGACGGGACATGAGAAGGAGCACACACCAGAAACGCGAGGGTGAGTACGGGGAGTGATGCTGGGAGTCCTTGGAGCAGGGACGGTAGTAGCGGGTGAGGATGGTGCTGCAAGGTGATCATCCTCCTCCTCCCCCCTTCCTTCCTCCTCCTCCCCTTCCTCTTCCTCTTCTTCCTCTTCTTCCTCTTCTTCCTCTTCTTCCTCTTCTTCCTCCGCCTCCTCTTCCTCCGCCTCCTCTTCCTCCCCCTCCTCTTCCTCCCCCTCCTCTTCCTCCGCTTCCTCTTCCTCACTTTCCTCCTCACTCCCCTCCTCACTGCACTCCTCATTTGCATCACTTTCTATCCTGACCTCCCAAACACCGTCCTCCTCATTCTCCTCCTCCTCTTCCTCCTCGTCTTCTTCCTCCGATTCACTCCCCTCTTCCGATTCATTCCCCTCTTCCGATTCATTCCCCTCCTCTGATTCGACCATCCTCATCTCTTCTACTTCATCCTCATCCTCTTCCTCATCCTCTCCCTCATCCTCTTCCTCCTCTTCCTCCTCATCATCTGTATCATCAGCATCATCATTATCATCAGTATCATCAGTATCAGAAGACCCGCTAACATATTCCCCACAACTCCAATTCGCTTCGTCCCCTTCCTCACTCCACTCCCATTCCTCCTCTTGCCTCCTCATCCCCCTCCGTCCCGTTCCTCTCTCTACTCCCCTAAAGCTCTCCACTCCTCTGCCCCTCTCCACTCCCCTGCCCCTCGCCACTCCCCTGCTCACACTCAACCACCTCCCCATACTCAACCCCCTGCCCACACTCAACCCCCTACCACTACCTTCATCCCCTTCCCCTCTCCGCCTCTTGCCCTCCCCTCGCGTCACCCTCCGCCTTTCCGTCTCCTGCCCCTTTTCCCCCATGCCCTCCGCCTCCGCCACCTGCTGCTGCGCCTGCAGCGCCCTCAGCTCCCGCCACCGCCTCTTCATCCACGCACTCCGCGCGCGCCTCAGCGCATCAGAGCAAGGCCGTCGCGCCACCATGCCCGGCCACTCCCCCGCCTGTTTCCTGCGGCTCTTCGCTCTCCTCCTCCCCTCAACCGCCTCCTCCGCTCCTGAGATCCCTCGCTTCCGCCTTCCGCCCACGGCTTCCCCCCCACGCGCATCTCTCCCCCCCAGCGTTTCCCTTCCCCCCGCCGCTTTTCTCCCCCGCGCCACCTCTCTGCTCAACCCCGCCTCTCTCCCCCCCCCGTTTACGTGCCCAGCACGCATGGCTCCCCTCCCTTTTCTCCCTCCCCCTCCTACCCCTCTCCCATTCTCCTCCCGCTGTTGCCCTCCCGTGACTTCCCGGCGCTCTCTCGCGCGCGGCATTTCAGACCTACTACGGGATTTCCTTTTCCGGGCTCCCTTTTCCCAATCGCTCCGCTAATCCGTCTTTCCGCGCCCGTTCCCGTCACCAACCCGTATTTCTAGCCTTCTCTCCCGCGCTGTCTCCGCTTTCCCCCTCTCTTATCACCACCCCGTTAACAATACCCACCCTCGTTCCGTTCCGCCCCGCGCCGTGAACCGCGGACGGGACAAGCACCGCGTTCGTTACAAGATACCGCTGCTCCCTGCACACAGCGCACTCGTGTCGCTAAACTGTACGCCGTTGCAAAGAGGACCACCGAATCGCTTCAAACCACGTGCGGAGAAGAGCGCGCTGAGTCGAATGTGCGAATCTGGTCATAAAAGGGTGCTGAAGAAAGGAAATCGCGGTAATTGATCGCACAAGGACGACTTTCACGATGTATGCTGCTGCTACGGACGTCGCGCGCTACTACTGAATCACACGTGGAGCGAACAGAGAGTGGCGCTGGGTCATCGTCATACGCATTTAGGCGAATTGGAGAGCGTAGTATTTGAACGGAATCTCGTTTTAATCGCGATCCTTGCACATGGCGGAGGTGCAGGAAACAATCGCACGAGACGAGAATGTTTCATTTTCCTAGGATCTGGCAACTCTGTCCACTAATTAGGGATTTGCAGACGGTTGCTGGTAACATGTATTTTGGCAGGAACATTAAGAGTTGACAGCTCATTTACAGGTAGAATAGCATATATCAAATGCTAAGTTAAGCACATAAAAAAGGGAAATTTAAAAAAAAGGGGGAAAAAAAAACCTAACAGCCCGTCCAGGCTCACGAACTTCCCCCTGAACTTATCGGCACCCAATCCACAACACACACACACACACGGAGGTCACTGAACGTCACATCATATCCGGAAAGGTATTTCCCTGGTTGACATTCGAGCGACCTTGCGCCACCATAGCAGCACGCGCCTGCATCAACCCTGCCGGATGCAGCGCTTGGTCCATTACTCCCCACCCTGACATGTCACAGAACCGGTTGTCGACTTGCGCCGACGGCCCTTCCGCAGCCGCAGAGCGACCGCAACCACCGGCATAATAATGAGCATTCCTTCTGGCGATATCGCCTTGCCCGGGGACTACTTGCGTATCCTCCATCTCGTAATCAAACGGGTTGCTCCGCGGCTCCTGTTGCCCTAACTTGCTCTGCTGGTGCCGTCTCGACGACCGGGACTGAACCCCTCCGCCGGGCCCGCTGCTCACTTCATCCTCGCTATCGGAACTTCGCTGTTGGCTGTAAGCCGCGTCTGGCTGAGCCTGAACGCTGCTCTCACACGCAGCACCAAACGGACCGTTCGCACGAGGCAGGGAAGCGCCAGAACGACGCGCGGAGCGGACGCAATCCAGCGAGCTTCGTCGGAGTGATGGGTCGTCGTGAGGAGCGTACAAGGCTGCATAATCATTGCCGGACGGGCCACCTTGTTCCTCTTTAACCGTAGACTGTCTCCCCGCAGCAGAGCTTCGGCGGTGAGACGGCCGTTCAAGCTCCTCCAGTTGAACGGACTTCCGTCGCGACATAGTGGCTGGTGACGGAATGTCTTCTTCCATCGGAGCGGGGGCCTCAGGCTCCTGTGGCGAAGCAAAGGTTGCCATCGCCTTCTGCAGCTCTAGCCGCTGCCTTTGTGAGCGGTCTTTAGCGAGGAACCGAAACATGATTGCTTAACTGTGGTTAAACGGGACGAGGGGAGAATGTAATGGATCAAGCTATCTCAACACCAACTCAAGGCCTGCGAAAAGCAAATCTCGAGTACCGCCAATAAACTGATAGAAGATTGCTGAAAGTATACGACTGGAAAGTTGACTAAGCTGGTGCTGAATACCAGAAAGCTCTAGCACCTAAATAGATTGCAAGGAAATCGACAAGCGAAGTGGGGTTTACTGATTTGGCCACAGAGAAGCGGCGAAGGGAGGAGACTCGGTCAGTCACAGCCGCTGAGGTAAAACAAGTTAGGACAGTGCCACAGAGGCCCACACACAAAGGCCCACACAGCGGCAAGGTGGCTGGCACTGGCAGGATGAGGTGGCTGAAAGTGACCGAAGGGGTTTGGAGAAAATCGGGAAATTCGGTGAGGGGTTGGCTAGATGCTTGCTGGGTTTGTCGTTGCACAGGAGAGATCGAGGGTTTCGTTCTGTTCCCCGGAGACGTGCCACTTGCGGAGAATGTCCGCTCTGCTGCCGCTGCGATGCGATTTCGTGACGGTGTAGCACGTGACGGGGGAATGTGATGGGAAGTCAGCAAATCCCCTCAGCAAATCGCTACTCATCAGCGGTGAGCTGGCGAGCAGATGCAAGGAACGGCTACGATTCTTTGACGGAACATCGACGCTGTGTAATGAAGGGTTTGTGTCGAGATGCTTGGTAGGAGCTGCTGTGATTCTGCCAGCCAAACTAATCGCTGCCCGTTCCCAGATGGGCTAGTCGATACACTGATTCCATTAGGCCTGGCAAGAAAATGCTGCATCCGTGGCTTCATTGTGAGCACCCACGCCAACAACTGCACGATAGGGACAGATATTTGCCAATTCACAGAGGTTCTCAGAAATCAATAGTGGGATACACACCAGCAATAAACACGGTCAGGAGTGAAAGCAAGCTGGCAGAAATAAGTCAATAGTAACCATTATAGGACAAATCGAGCTTATATTGAATTGAGCTGCTTCCAGAATGTTATCATATGTCAATTACTGCATGAGCAAGTCAGATTGTGGGAAAAATCTGAGAGGCAGCTAAAGCTGCATTAAGTTGAGACTGCAAGATAAATCATTTAAAACTGAGGCTCTATTTTTTTCATTTGATGTGCATGTTAAGAAAAGATGTGTGATTCCATCCACTGAGGATCGTGATTCATGGTATCCTAGTAAAATGACTTATGACGGCCTATAATGCATCTCACGTTCATTCAATAAAATACAGGTGTAGTATGAGGTCAATATATGAGCCACAAAGGTTAAAATTTTAACAGCTATACCAAGTTTACTGTATTGTGTGATTCCTTGGTTGAAGAATTTGAGCTGCTTGATTTATGCAGTTCTTCCACGTCAACAGGAGTCATTAAACCCTCGTTGTTACGTGTTCGCGTGAATCAGGTCGTCGTCAGCTCCCAACCAGGTGTTCGACGACTTTGTCGGGAGAGCATCGGCGCAGTAGGGCCAAGCTCCTAGCCAGTAGAAAGGCGAGGGAGATCCACGTTGCTATCCAGCTTGGCGAAATTCATCACCGTCAGCTTCATAATATCGTAAAATTTGCCTGTCTTCCTCCTCATCGCGCCCACCAACCTCCCAACTGGCCTCCATTCTCTTGATCTTACCACGCCCACCGCACCCCACCCCGCCATTCTCGCCGCCCCTTTCCTTTCACCCACCTGTTCTATCCCCTTCCCACACCTTCCCTTCCCTTCCTCGCTTCCAACACCTCAACAACTACTCTTGCTCATGTTTGTACGGTATAATACTGCTGTCCCCTGCCACTGACACTCGCACAAGTTCATACTATGTGTTAGTAACACAAGCCACGACAGCCCCCACTACTCGAGTCCACCTCGCGATCACTGCTGTTGTTACAAGTGAAGGATCGTAGTGGATAGCATAAGTCTGTCAAGTCTGAGAGAAGACAATGAAATCTTTGTAATGGCCTTGTTAGTAAGTTGAAAGAGAACAAGATGATTAAAGGATAGTGGTACAAAGATATAAACAGCAATCCTAGCTGGCCATGTACTCTGAGGGGTACATTCCCTTATTAACTGAATTGCATTGCAACAGTAACCACGACTATTGCTATTCTTGACCGTTACCGTGTTGCATCGCGTAACTTCCAAGTGCGGTTACTGGGCAGTCAAGGGTCACGACCGTTGACTGTTGACCTTCGGGTCGGCTGACGAAAGGGCTATGAGTTCCTGCTTCTGAGAGTTCCAAGAGATGAGCCCAGCAGGTTGGAGTTGAAAAATGAATCCTGTGCGAGAGCGTCTCTTGTCAATGTCTCCTGCGTGGTCTGCGTCTACGTAGCCATGGAGCTGCAGGGTAGCAGTTAGGTTAGCTTCGTAGGTGATCTTAGAAGTTAGGCATGGTTGAGTGTGGACTATCGAGATGGTGGTACAAAGGAAAATCAACCTAAGGGGTTGTACCCTACAATGTGTACCCCACTAAGCCTACCCAAAATATAACATAACTATACATATGTTTGACACACCCCCATAGGCAGAGTGGGGGAGAACAGAGGGTCACAAGACCAGTCAGGAAGTGCAAAGCAAGCTCAGGGTGGATCACAACGTCACCACGCAGTCTGAGCACAAGCAAGAAAGGCCACAAGGCCAGTCCACATGCAGAGATATATATGCAACAACAACAGTACAGTGAAATCTACCTACAAGAACAAGCATGCAGGAATACATATAAATCATGGTACAAACAAAGCCTACAGCAAGTGAGGAAGAGTGGGCACAAGGCCTAACAAAGTGCAGAAACGCTGATGATCACCAGGCAGAAGTGCCTTGGTGAATATATCAGCAGTGTTGGCCCGAGTGGCCACGTAGGTAAGACGAAGCTGGCCACGCTGCTGCAGCTCTCGAGCAAGAAAGTAACGGAGAGCGATGTGCTTCGTTCTGTGCTCCAGTCTGTGCTCCTGACACAAGGCAATGGCGGCCTTGTTGTCGACGTACAGCACTGGAGGAGAACGAGGCCGCTCTCCCAAGTCAGTCAGCAGGTAGGTGAGCCAGCGAAGCTCCTGTGCAGCCATGGCTGTGGCGTAGATCTCGGCCTCACAACTGGAGCCGAGAACTGAAGACGAGCGTGTAGAACGCCAAGAAACTGAACCAGAGCCAAGGCTGAAGGTGTAACCCTGTGACGACCGCTGCGTAGCCTGGTCGTCAACCCAAGAGGCGTCCGAGTGACCAGTGAGGACAACGTCACCCCGTCCTCCAAGCACGAGCCCCATGCCCGATGTACTGCACAAGTAGCGTAGTACC